TATTTACAGGCCACTGTCATTTAGCTGGAATATTGCAACAAACAAACATTCATTGCCAGTTAATGTTGCACTTGGATTTGTTCAATGCTGAGACAAGGTAATTGTTGGATCTTAGATCCAAGGTCAGCGTCTGGAAGTATTGGCTTTGGACCTAGCACATGGTGGTGTTTTTTTAGACATTAGGAGCTTTGAAGAAGAAATGGTGAAGGGGTTGATTCTCTTTGTGCAAGTACTTGCAAACACCTGTAGTTCAAGCCTGCAGTCACAAAAGTCTGTGTTACTTGGTTTCAGTATTATTCTAATGCTTGTTTTATCAAATCAGAAAACCACATTCTCATCTAATAAACCTGTCCTTATGTGATTAATAAAATGCATTATTGATATAATGCTTTAACATTGTTTTGTCAAATGGAGTGGGAAATCCGATCATGGGACGGTTCCCAATAGGGCAATGTTATTTACAATGTTATTTACATTGATGTTGCTCTCTCATTCAAATAGGGGCGGTGGGGTAGTCTAGTGGTTAAAGGGTTCGCTTGTCACGCCGAAGGCCCCGGTTTATTTTTCACATTTACAATGTGTGGTGTCCCCTGCCGTGATATTGCTTGAATATTGCTAAACGCGGGATAAAACCACACTGGCTCACTCACTCACTCAAATATGAGATAGCATTATATTTTTTGAACCGTCATATAGCTGGAATATTGCTGAGTGCGACGTTAAACAACAATTAAACAAAATATTTTTTTTAAATCAGTCAGTTCATATTTGTAACATGGTACAAGAATGACAGTAAAGTGTCTAATATTTACAGTGGTTTACACTAAAAGTTGAAATATACTCACCGACAAAAGAAACGCAAATACCATACATGGTTAATATATGAAGAATTACTCAAGAGATAATAGATTGGGTTGACTCACAGACGAACATACTGGTATGTTGAGTGAATCAACGCCCATGAAGGTCATAGATCCATGACTCGAGATGCACGATGTGTCTCCTGCAGGATTAGGGTGAAAAGTTTGGAAATCAACTAGCAGCATATCGTGATAAGAATAAAGACACTCTGTGGTAACACTTGACTGATTGTTAGATTTGTCATTAAGTGGTACACACTGGAAACATCGCTTCTAAACCACATACTTCTCTGTGTGTTTCTGTGGTTCTTTTGGCGGTTCTTTTGACGGTGAGTATATCATGAATGTTCTGATGGTGGAGTACCAACTTCATCAGCATGAGTATTACTGTTCTATTACATCAACGACATCATGAGACACTCATCAAACTGGGATGGTTGCAGGTGGGAAATCAAGGCAAAATGAATAGAAGCTTGTGTCACACCATGTAATATATATGGTGCATATCAGGCTGTCGTAACTAAACAATCAATTTTTTATGTTCAATGAAATACATTCTAGCCTGTGATTTGTTTCTTCACTGTCAAACTCGCAATGAGATATTGAATAAATATTACATATATAATTATGGATGTTAAAATTAGTTTTATTTCATCATGTTTTGTTCTATTTTGAACCTCAAGTTTTAGATACCATTTTTGTTAATTTAGGGGCACGACTTGGCCACGGTGCCACAATTAGCTGTCCAGAGTTGTGTCCCTTGGGCATGCCAGAAACCGACAACTGTGGGTTCGAATCCCAGTCCACCCTGGTTGTTCGCTCGCTAAGCTTTCATTCTACACCGCACGTCACGTGAAGATTGACGTGAAGATCCGGGTTAGAATAGGTCTTCAGCAAACCATGCTTGCGGCAAAAGGCGACTATGCTTGTCGTAAGAGGCGACTAACGGGATCGGGTGGTCAGGCTCGCTGACGTGGTTGATGCATGTCATCGTATCCCAATTGCGTGGATCGATGCTCATGATATCAATCACTGGATTGTCTGGTCCAGACTCGATTATTTACAGACTGCCGTCATATAGCTGGAATGTTCTTGTGCGGCGTTATACAACAAACAACACCAACTCTAGTAGGGCTGGGACGGGTGAATCGGGTACTCGGGTCGGGTGAGTACTGAGAAGGACCCGGGTACCCACAGAACTACCCGGATCCGTGGTTGGTCATGTGATATATGTTTAATGGCAAAAAATGATCTTGAACTCTATGATTACACTACAAGTCACAAATGTTCGCATTCTTTTCTGACTATGTTCCCAGACTTTTACATGTTTGAATAAAGATAGAATTTCAACTTCAGTGTATGCATGACCAGATAGATTTATACGTGTATCTAAATACATTTTGTCCAGGGCTACAGTCAAACTATTCCCAATCGGACATAATGTACCTTTTGAGACCTGCAGTAGGTACCCGGGTAGGGTAGGGTAATAGAGGGGTGGGTACCCGGGTAGTAGATCTGGACTCGTCCCAGCCCTAAATTCTAGATAGATCAGTTATAGCTTTGGAAGAACTTTTCCTGTCATTTGCCACACACAGTCGGTTAAATGCAGACTTTTTAGCTCCATCTTTCAGAAAGATGATGTTGTTTAAGTGTTGTAGGCCATTCAGCTCTCAGTTGTAAACAGATAAAGGTTTGGAACCAGCTGAAACTATTACAGAAAGCAGACAATTTTCGTTCTTCATCTTATGTCTTTGCAAAGAAGGATTTGATGCAAATACTTGTAGATGTGTCCAATATGTTAGTGCTTTTTGTTGTTGTAAGAACTGTATCGTGAAGACTTCAGAAACACAATTTCTTGCAGATATATTCAGAAGAACGTAACGCAATATGGCTGATACAAATATAATGTTTTTGAATGTTAATACTGAAGACAGGCACATATACTCAGTTTCTATTTATTTTTGCAGTAAAGAAGTGACAGTTGTGTCACGATTATAAGTAATTTCAGACATTTAAATATTCTATATTTAAATGCGCTATATTTTGATAAGCTTGTTTTCACATATGCCCGACTTGACAAGCCTGTCAGATACCCTGAAACAAAACGATGAAAAGAAAACCTTTATGCAAGTGTGTAATAGTTTAGCAAGTCTAGATGTCTTCAGCTACGTCAAACAAACTCCTTGCTTTAAGAAAGATTTCTTGTATTATTTTCATTTGGGAGAATCGAGTTAAGTCTACGTCCTGGCGTTTTAACAGGCACATGTGTCTGACCCATATGACGCAATCATCGGCTATGTAACGTTGAACGTTCGCTCACGATTTGGCAGAAATCTTGGAAGACTTCATAGAAGATTTGCATAGTTAAGACTTGAAGTTTCCTGTCACAAATGTTTTATTGTGATTTGAAAGTATTTTTTCACTTGAAAAATGGTTAGTGTTTATAAATAGAGAATACTACACTGTATCTCGTTAGATACCATTTTACGAAACGAGTGGACTTTCTATGGTACCTGATACGTTAAATATGTATTTAAGTGTAAATACAAAACAACTTTCGCTCGTTATCAGACCAAACTGAATGTGTGTAAATGTCTCTCGTTTCATGAGATTCCTTCAGTTCTGCCTTGTAGTTGTAAAATAGAATGACGTCTGGTGATTTTTTATGAATGAAAAAAGTAGTTCCGATGTGATCCAATCAAAACGAATAAAACGATCATATGTCTTTGGTTTACAATGAACGCAACACATGCCCCCAAATCACTTATCATCAAATTTAGAATGCATTTATTTGATCTCGCACGTGCCAGTAATTTGATTGGACGGCTATTTTTAGCGTCGTGTCATTCCATAGGTAATATTTCGGACTTGCGTGAACGACACTGACACTGTGAGTAAGTAAGGTTTTACGACACTTTTAACAACTTTTTAAGCAAAGTCATGTTACATCACTTCATAACTGCTTCCCACATCAAACAGTGGAATCGACTTCCGACCTCCGCCTCAACCTTACGCTCTGCAGTTAGTTTAATAGCCCAAAACGTAAGCTACACGGACCCTTGAATAGTCAACAATGAGATCTGAAGGCTAACGGTACTCTCTGGTATGATACATTTCACATTATGAATTACGTCTTTGAAGATCCGGTTAGAAAATAGGCCTTCAGCAACCCATGCGAGTATGCTTGTAAGAGGCGACTAACGGGATCGGGTGGTCAAGCTCGCTGACTTGGTTGATGCATGTCATCGGATCCCAATTGCTGTAGATCGATGCGTGTGATGCCAATCACTGGATTGTCTTGATTACAGACCGCCGTTATATAGCTGGAATATTGCGGCGTTAAAAAATTCGCCCAAGAAAAAATTCATCCAATTCAGAAATGTCAGTATACTATTCAATTTCACCTGATACAGTCGTCATTTAGAAAGGAGAGTCAATAGTGTCAATTGATGAATCAAATACTGCATCTCGATTTCGTGAGGGTATATATATATATATATATATATACACACACACACACACACACACACACACACACACACACAAACCAAAATATTAAGCACAGTAGCATAAGAGACCTGACCAACAAGCAGCACGTGTACTGATTTTCGTTAATATATATTCAGGTCACATTTCAATATGGGAATGCATACCACCAACTGTTGACCATTCACTTTTCAGATCATTATATATTATATATTATATATACCAGACGTTACCCTCACATGATTATCACAAATATATTTTGCTCAAGGTCACCTGAGGTCGTTCGAGTATTCATCAGCGTCATTTCACATTTCCACATAGACTGTCAACAATGTAACTTAAAATATTTATTACAATATTTTTTCCGACCAATGATAACACTTTTTTAATATTTTCCAAAAGGAAAATTCACAATAATACAATCAATCTCCTTTTTTATCACACACCCATACCGCGATGGACGTCCGATCACTCGGTCATCATGCAACTGATTATCTCGAGTGAAGTGTACCATCTTGTGTCACATGTCACACACACTACATCAATCGGGGTCACCAAATACACTGGCCATATCACGACAATAGCCTACAAGTCATTGCTCAGGTCAGGTGAGCCAAGATTGGTCATAATCAACTCGAGTGATACTGGACGAACATGGAGTCAACACCGCTACTTGAAAACAAGGACAAAGAAGACAAGTCAACACTTGGAAATCTACTCAAGGCTAACGTTCTGTTTCTTGTTTTCCATTTGGCAATCAATATCCGTAATCCACTTTTAACACAATATCTTTACAAGAGGTACTCCGATGCGGCGTTCGACAACAGCACAGGGAGTGCCAACGCTCCAAATCAAACCTGTTACGTCAACAAGTCGGATCCAGGATATATGTTACAGGAAATGGTTCAAGAACAAACGTCAAACTTTCAAACAATATTGACTGTCATTGGAAGTTGCGGAGCAGTGGTCAGCTGTATGTTCCTAGGAGCATATTCTGATTTTCTTGGACGACGATTCCTCTTCATTGTACCTTTAGTTGGAGAGGTTCTGAAGTTTTGGTTGTTGACAGTTGTTATTTACTGGAATCTAGATCTGAGATACCTGTACATTGGCGAGGTGTTTGAAGGTATTTCAGGCGGATACAATGGCGTGATTCTAGCTAGTTATGCCTACACGGCTGACAACACACCACCCAAGAACTCCCGGACAATAGGGATCGCTGTGATAGACTTCACTACCTACCTGGCTGCTGCAGCTTCCCAGGTCATCACCGGATACTTCATCAAAGACCTGGGCTATCTCTACCCTTCCATAACCACTGCCTCCCTCATGCTTCTCTCCCTTCTCGTTGTCCTTGTCATTCTTCCAGAAACTATCAGCACAGACAGAAGATCCAAATACCCAACCCCATTAAAAGCAGTGAAAAATGTCTTTGGATTCTACTTTTCGAAAGATTTTGGATCAAAGAGAAGCCTTTTCTGGCTCTCACTTGCATCCTATTTCATATTATATTTCAGTCAGCGTGGTGTGACTTTTGTAGAATATCTTTTCCAACTCAACCTGCCTTTCTGTTGGGGCCCAGAACTCATTGGCTATTTCAATATGGCATTGTCCCTTTCAAGGCAATTACTAGGGATCCCAGTCATCAAACTCCTCCATCTGTGCACCTCCGACCCCGAGATATGTATCATAACATCTATCATACAGGCGGGAGCCTATGTCCTCAACGGTCTGGCAAACACTGACGTCATGCTTTTCTCATGTAAGTCAATACTGCAGTAAATAACATAAAGGTAAAAAAAATGAAGAGCTTAGAGCCATAAGGGCCAATGTCATGTGGAGTCTGTTTTGAGAAAAGTGATGAAAACAAACAATATTATTCATGTTAATGAACTTTTTTTACCGATAAATTCCTAGACATTAACGCATTCTGACAGCAGAGATATAATGTTATAAAAAAACATTCAAGAAAGGAAATAAACTTACGTTTTTAATTTGTGTAAGGGTGGAAAGGGCCAATGACTGTATTTTGTTCCAGTCTCAACCACACACGGAAAAGAGAGTTAAAAGGGCCAAAATCTAGCAAAGTGACCGGCCCTTTTGAAACTTGACTTTGGCCCTTTTAAAGAATTTTAAGTAGCTATATTTCAAAAACGCATCAATGAAAAGATACAATATTTTTTCTACAGGTGGACAAGAACTCATAGATGTTGTTATTTAAGCAATAATATGCAAAAAGGGCCAAAGTGTATTTTGGCCCCTTTTAGCTCTTAGCTCTTCAAATGCTACAAATAATCTTACAAAGTTTCTGACAAACGTGTGAATTACGAACAGATACGTTGTCATTGATATATCATTCTACATATTCAGAACAAAGGGTATATAGCGACATTAATTGACCTTTGCTTTTGTTTAAAGAGTATTGTTTGTTGCAGTTGTGTTGCCCAATGGTATAGCAGGCCCTTTGTTGCCGGCACTGCGGGCCATGATGTCGAGGATAGCCCCTGCTGAAATGCAGGGTGAGTATGCAGACAGTTGTAGATATAGCTGTACATGGTCAGACTTGTCATCGAAATATATCCATCTTCCCGCAGTCTTTTGTGTTCTTCAAAGAAAATCTTCTCATCGACGTTATCGTCTGGTGAAAACAGGAACATAACAAGAGAGAAGCCATGATATCAACATTCAAATGCATATTACAACACAACACAAAGACAAAGATTGGGGCATCGTGAAAGGCCTACGGTAATGATTAAGTGGACAGTGGCAAATACATTTAAATATAAACGATAAAGCCCTTTCCATAATAGTTAGGGTCCATTTTTATCTCATAAGCACGGGGGGCGGTCGGGTAGCCTAGTGGTTCGCTCGTCACGCCGAAGACCCGGGTTCGAATCCCGACATGGGTACAATGTGAGAAGCCCATTTGTGGTGTCCCCCGCCGTGATATTTTGGAATATTGCTAGAAGCGGCTTAAAACCATACTCACTCACTCACACTCATAAGCACGGACTTTCAAAGTTTCAAACAGTAATGATACCAGGTGTTCACGAAATGACACTCGTCACACATACATTTCATTTTAGTAACTGATACGTCAAATTTGAAATTTTAATTTATTATTTCATTGTATACAAAGTGGACAGTGCCAATCACATTTACATAAAAACAACAAAGTCCTTTCCATAATCATAAGAGTCCATATTATGATTCCGGCTATCTCAAAAGCACGTGTTTATCAGTCAGTATCAAACAGTGATGACACTAGGTGTTCACGAAAAGGCGAACGTATCCTGTCTCACTGTTGGTATTCGTCAGCAACGCATTGCTTTTGGACATAATTTTGGTAACTGATATGTCAAATTTGGATATGCTTTTGAAACATTATTTCTATTCCATTTATACAAACCATGCATTGCCAGCATTGTATTCTTTCCATAGAGAGGCATCTTCAGTTGATTATAAAGAAAATCAAGAAACCTTTTCCTATTCTAGAGCATTAAAATTCTACAGGCCATTTTAACATTTGTATCACATTTGAGGTGATGTGTATGTGATTAACAAAACTATAGGTTATAAGTTATCACAATTACATTAATCTTCTTGCAACCATGTGTGGATCCTGTTGATCGTGACTACATTCATAATACAGGTTGAAATGTCTGTAACAATAACCCTGCAAACTGTAACTGAAACTGTATGATATATATAAGGGTAATTACACAGTGTGCAACCCGTGAAGATCCGGGAATGAATAGATCTTCAGAAACCCATGCGTAAGAGGCGACTAACGGGATCGGGTGGTCAGGCTCGCTGACGTGGTTGATGCATGTCATTGTATCCCAATTGCGTGGATCGATGCTCATGATGTCAATGACTGGATTAACTGGTCTAGACTCGATTATTTACAGACCGCCGTCATACAGCTGGAATATTGCTGAGTGCGGCGTTAAACAACAAACAAACAAAAACAAAGTGCGCACATAGAATCTCCTTCTTTGTTCGAGTTATCAGAATGTTTGATTTATTTATTTGTTTCAACATGTGCAACGTTCATTGCTAAGGAAAGAAACTGTAAACTACAACTCGACATTGAGGTGAATCATTTCAAACATTGAACCTAAACTAGATCTTTGATTCATCAGGTTGTTGCTGTTTCCAAATGCATGTGAGGGGCACGGCTTGCCCAGTCGTCTAAGGCGCCGCAATTAGCTGTGCAGAGTTGCGTCCCTTTGGCACGCCACAAACCTATGATTGGAGGTTCGAATCCCGGTTCGCCCCGATTATTTCTCTAGGTTTGTCAGCACGATACCCGCGCTCGTGGGTTTCATCGAAGTGGTAAACGTCTGAGACATGCATAACTTTCCTCCGACATTAAGCTGACAGGCCGTGATATAACTGGAATTCTGTTAAAAGCGGCGTTAAACCCAACTCACTCACTCACTCCAAATGCACGTACAACCAGTACAACGTTGAACATTGTTTTCAGGATCCCTGTTTGCCGGTATTGGACTTGTGAACATCATCTCAGAAGGGTTTGGGGTAACCGTTTTCAACGAGTTGTATGATGCCTCTGTGGAGATACTCCGTGGTTTCGCCTTCTTCGTCTGTGCGGGATTCCAACTGGTGTCTGCAGTTATCATAGTGTGAGTGCCTGTCCGGGTGGGGTGTTAAATATCCAGGATTTTGATTGTTTGTTGCTTGTTTATTTGTTGTTTAACGCCGCACTCAACAATATTCCACCTATGTGACGGCGGTCTGTAACTATTCGAGTCTGGACTAGAAAATCCAGTGATTGACAACATGAGCATCGATCCACGCAATTGAGATCGGATCGACGCATCAACCAAGTAAGCGAGCCTGAACACCCGATCCCGTTAGTCGCCTCTTACGACAAGCATAGTCGCATTTTACGGCTAGTCCATAGCCAACCCGAGATCCTCGTTGACTGGGGGCACCCTGAACGCAGTTGATCGTGAACAGTTTGGGTTTGTTGGTATCTGTTCCAGTCTGCTAATCACAGACAGACTGCACGTTGGCATATAACTGTTTCCAGCCGTCTAAGGCGCCGTCATTCGCTGTGCAGAGTTGCGTCCCTTGGGCACGCCAGAAACCTATGATTGTGGGTTCGAATCCCGGTTCGCCCCGATCATGTTTCTAGGTTTGTCAGCACCATACCCGTGCTCGTGGGTTTCACCGAAGTGGTAAACGTCTGAGACCTGCATAACTTCGGGCTTTCCTACCACATTAAGCTGACACGCCGTGATATGACTGGCATACTGTTAAAGGCGGCGTTAAACCCAACTCACTCACTCACTCACTATGGCTGTGTGTGGCTCTACCGCGTGTGGCACGTGCAAACTATAGGATTAGTTTTTGTTTTAAGTTTTACAGACCTAAACGTTCTTGGAAAGCATGTTGTCTTGTCTTTGTGTTAGTTAATACAAGGTATTAACATTGATATTTCATGGTCCCCTATTGTTTTCTAAGAGTATGTTTTTACACTTACCCATTGAATAGATTGTATATTTGTTACACTGACGTTTGCAATTAAAATATATTTGGTCGAGAGAAGAATGATTGGTATGACTGTTCATCTCGCTTACAGACAGTATCGGTGCATTAGTCACTGAGGTAGTAAGTCAGGGTAGTCATTGAGATACATGGGAAAGGAGAGCTGTCACAATTACCACGTAAAGGAAACAGCTGTGATATTTACCAAATAAATATTGTGTTACAGATTGTTCCTCTGTAAATCCCGCCGCATCGTTGACCCTGATACCTCCACCGTTGTTGTCATCACCGTCAACGACTGAGAGCCAGGCCTCATGACAAGCCTGGGCCGACGTGGTGTCCCTGGTTGATGATTTTGACTGTGGAATGTGGAAGGTACTGAGGCGGGACTTCTGAATTGAACTTGGCTGTTCTATAGTGCGGAAACCCTCCTTTCGGACCATAACTGTCGTTACAACCTAATTTATCCCTGACCGTCAGAGCATGTTCATAATCGGCATCGGTTATTTTAGATTTTGTTAAGTTACTATAGAATTGTTAAATGGGTGGTAATTTAGTTTCGTCGAATCTAGACCAATCATCCATATATTTGTAAGGATATACACCTTTTCTCAACAACAAATGACGTGTTAACCGATCAGTATATTGATTTGTTATTGCAAAGTCATCGGGATTGTTCGCATTAGCCAAATTGTCCAGGGAAGATAACAAAAACTGTACGGAGTCTATGAATCTAAAGCCATTACTTTGCTTTATTCTGGCTTTCCCATCCTTGTCCGTATAATGTATAGTTTTAGTCAACGAGAATTATATGTATTTTTCCATATTATTAGGAATGCACGTTGAGCCACCGTCGGTCGTTGAGATGGCTTGAATGATGAGATGAGAATCATATCCTCTTAGGTTGTGAAACACAATGGGGATGGGTATTGTTTGAGAATTCATTTTTAGTTTCAAGTTACACTCGTTATGCGTGGGTCCGCAATAATTACCCGTGACATGGCAATGATCTCTTACAGAATCCCCATTCAGGGGTTTATTACAAACATGACAAATCGTCGACTTCTTATAGGCCCTCCAATCATCGCTCGTCATACACTTTGGTTTCTTACCTGATAAATTTTCCCTGATTATTCTCTCTTCGTTTTGTAGATATTCTAGGAACTTTCCCGCTGCATCGGGACCTCTGTAAATCACGGGCGGGTTTGTTTTCCCATCATACCTTACAACTATATATCCAAACCCACAAGGAATATGTTCTTGAGTTTTGTATGTAAAACTATCTTGATTGCTTCGGTCGGTATTTTCTATAGGTTTCATAAGTGCTTCGAAGTCAGCGTAAATTACGTAAGGTACTGGCATTTGATTACAATAATGTTCAAATTTTGATATAGTTTTTCCCTCTTAAGGCATATCAATCCTGATAACAGTCTGTCCAACACCTCTGCAGTATTCTTTATGCACTTCTAATAGATCTTGTCTGCTGTACCCATGCAGGCATCTTTTGCAGAAATATTTCTTTTTCTTATGGGTTGTTTGATCATATAATAGTCTGCTTAAACTATTTATCCATGTATAATGATATTTACTATCTTTTTCGATCAGAAATGAATTGATTCTGGGAATATGTTCTGGGGCGGAGCTTATCCTGTGAACAACATTTCCTTTATGAGAATGTCCGAAAACATTTATAGCTAAATTATTTTGCTTTTCCGCCTTATCAATTTGTGAGATAGGTGTAGGTTCGTCTATACCATCAAAGTTGAGTCCGTCGTTTTGGAGATAGCTAGAAGTTCTATTTGCAATTTTAGAATCTGCGGGGAACAATGCAGATCTTATCATTCTGAAACAGTCATTGCCTTTATTTTTTACATTAATTATGGTTTTTTTCTTCTTATAATACGGGGGTAAATCTATATAAGATCCACCGTTAAAAGGCATATAATTTGCTATATCTAAATATAAACTATCGATTTTATCCACACCCCAACCCAAACCTCTATTAGTCCAGCATTCTAAAGTTTCTTGTATCCTCTGAATTGATGTATCTAATGATGTGTTTATAGTATCGGATTCAGTTATAACTTCTTGATTGCTTCGGAAATAAGGTTCGGTATATTCAGTGCTATCGTCTGCGTTACTTTTACTCAATGACATTTTAACCGTCAGCTGGTATTTTATACTATTTAAATCATCTAATTCCTCATTAATTTTGCTCAATACGATGGGCTTAACATCATTAACATCCATGTTGGAATTAATATCCATCTTCCAACCTCTTAGATATTTACGAACGCCGGCTGTGGGTACAAATTTTAACTCATTATTATCAACAACAAGGGGTTTATCAACATCGCCAACTGATTTATTATTATCTAGTAAAGCGATCAGTTCAGCTTTTCTCATTCGAGAATAGCCTCTCAGCTCACTTTTTTTTCACTTGAGCTTTGAGTTCTCTAACAGTCTGGGGTTTGTTGTATTCCAAACTGAGCAAATCAGTCGATACAGCTTTTCTCATTCGAGAATAACCATGTAGACCACGTTGTTTTTCCAAACTCTCTCACAAAAACCATTGTGGTTTAATGGTATATGCAAAATGAGTCAAATCTCTAAATGGTTGTTTTTCATATATCTAAATACTTATTCTCCCCAACCTATTCTTCTCGTTGATGTAATCTCTCTTCCTAGCTTAAAAAATCTGGTTCCTGACCCTATCAGCGCTGTGTTTTTCTCATAAACAATAACGACGTTTGACCCCTATCCAACATACAGAACAAACGTAATTTATATTTCCCCATCTGATGTAATAAGAATGGATCTCACAGTAAACACCCACACAACGTCGGCTGCATTGAATCGGCTTCCCCATGAGTGTAAATCTGCACAGATTCATGGTTATACATCTATCATATCATTTGTCTAAATGCAAATCACATCTCCACTGATGAGTCATAGTTGTCATCGCTATTTATAGATTAGCATTCAGGGTTATTATTAGTGGTTGATACGCAATAGATCATGGATTATGCGTAGTTATTGTGTAGCATAAAATAGCAATGACTGATAACCCAAACACTATAAACGCTATCTTGCGGTCTTTCTGAGCCTCTGACGGTGTATAAAACTGACTTATTGTTGGTCTCGGTATTAGATCAAGTTTCTAATTAGATCAAGTATTCGTGCATGGCAGATTCAACATCCTTAAACGTTTGAATTGAATGCCCCTCTTTACGCAGTTCACCATTAATAAAATGTAATCTTAACATCCTATTTCGAGTCCATTGTGACTGGGCTGTTTCGAGTTGTTCTAATGCTTTATTTTGTCTTTTACGCTCCTCTCCTCTCATACTAGAAAATAAAAAATTACTCCCCGAAAAAGCTAAAGCATTAACAATAGCTCCACCGACCATCATTGCAATTGTTGCCATATTCAAATGTTTTATATGAATATAAAATATTCAAATGTTCAATAATATAAAATATTTAAATGTTTAATTACTTCATTATGTCTTCTGGATAAGTCCTTGTTTGATAAGCATATCTTTTGTAGCCATTGCCAATCCTATATGAAGAATCATCATACCGATATCATAACCATTGAAATCTAGCTTGGGTGGTGTGGCTTTAGTAATCATTTTAGCCGCTGACCATCGCTGAATGATACGTTGCGTTTACCAACATTTTACCGTCTGTAACTGGAGTAGTCATTGCTTTTATAACATTATATAACTCTAATTGAACTTGTTGTTGTGATTGTGCAATCGGGGGTGACGTTTTCTCTTCTCCGGTCTTATAAAACCATACTGCTGCTATAGCAACAACCTCAAGTACATAGGGAGCCCAAGTTTTAATCGGACGACTATGTTCAATATTTGAATTGTGTATAAGTTTTGACTTCCTCGCTAGCACATCCTTCCTACCAGCTGGGACTTTTCGAGGATTCTTCATCACTCTGGCTTGTGATTGCGCAATCGCTGGTATTTCCTCATTCACTTGTTGTGATTGTATTTCCTCGTTCACTTGTGATACAATTGGGGTTATTTCCTCATTCACTTGTTGTGATATCTGTTGTGGTGTCACTTGAGTCTCCATTATTAAGAAGTGGGCACTTATGTTTAAATTGACAATACCTAGCCGTTATTAAAGCTGTGGTCACCAGCGCTGAGAACATTCCATATCTATGATAAAACTCACAGCTTACTGCGCTTATAGCTTGTTTGATGAATGGGTCTTTCTCGAGAGATTGGCATAAATACATGTGATGTTATGCCGGGATAGGGAGAAACGTACTAGCTACGACTGTGTATAGTTGTAACAAAGCCGAACTTATTGTTTTAGTCATGGTAGCTCCAAGTCTAGACTCGTAACGCTCGTACAGTTTTTTAATTTCTTCATCGGTCATGTTATCAATTTTTTCAGTGGTATAATTTTCCCCCAAATATTGGGAACATTTTCCACCAGCTACCAAAGCCGCGAGTCTTTCTCTATGTTTATCTAAAGATTTATCTGTATGTTGATCTGCATGTTGATCGGGTTCTTTGAGCATTTGTTTGATAAGTTTGTCGCATACCATAATGTAATACCTAAGGAGATATTTAAGTTTAACATAATAAAAAAAGACATATAGCCCGAAAATACAGCCCGAAATAATAAACTGTTGCAAAAGAATGAGGATTTCAAACCACATTATTACATAATAACCGCTAATGTTCAGTTTATCGTATTTTTGCTATTTTTGCTATATTTTTGCTATATTTTTGCTATATTTACTAAATTTTTGCTTAGCAGTTGTTATTTTTTTGCTCAGCAGTTGCTCTATTTTTGCTTGGCAGTTGCTATATTTGCTATATTTTTGCTATATTTTTTGCTATTTTTGCTATATTTTTGCTAAGCAATCGCATAAGCAGCTGGTTGATCAGTTTTTAATACGAGTTTACAATCCTTCGTTTCTGCTAACAGTTTTCTGACTTGATTTTGAGCTTGGTATAAATAACATCATTTTCGTGTAGACATTCCTCAAATGAATCTCGGTCTTTGCAATGTAACAGGGCTACCCATTTGGCCTGCTCTCTGAGATCTTTCAGGACAGAGTTGTATTTTTGAGTAAGTACCTAAACGCTATGCTCCATATGCCTGACCGGAAAATGCTAAATATGAAAGCATATCTTTCTTTTTGGTAAGTTCTTTACTCGCACTGCAGTCGTCTATTATGAAAAGGGTTGACTCTCCTTTGTATTTTCCGTGACATACTCGTAAACAGTCTTGTAAACGATCGCCCGGATCAACTCTGTGCACCAATGGATCATTCATTACCCAATCTCTCGATAGGTATGTTTTATTAATGCTTATAGTCGGGCACAGAATAATATGGTCGAAAACATCCTGATAATGACTTTGTAAAATATCAAGAATAAAAGCTGTTTTTCAACAACCTGTTTGCCCGCAGATGATAGCGCAGTGCGGTTCTTTAGATAAAAGATTATTAATAGATCGCTTGCATGAATCTTCCATTCTGTATATAAAGTTGCGCGTCCATAATCACGTACAAATATATGTTTAATTTACCAGCCGCTCCCTGGAGCTTCATTATTTGCATAGTAACACACTTGCTAGCATTTTCTATTCTCCGCCCACTGCAGTGTAGTTGGTCATTGTCTGTGGTTCGCATGTCGAGCCATAGTGCATACTTCATGGTAAGGAATTCAGCCATCGATACATCCCCGAGAGACAGATCTTTCACGACTGCGTTAACTTCTGGGCTTCGTCTTATAGAAGGGAGTTTTTTAATCTCACTCCACTGTTGATATGCATGCATGCCTTGACTATATAGTTGATTAGGCACACCCTCGATAGTCAATTCTACTTTTGTAATATTGGGGTTGTAGAACTTCTCGGTATCTCTTGCAAATGCATCAGAGGGGTCCCCAAACAACATTAAAATAACGATCTAGTGGGGACGTTTAGATTGATATTCCACGTCATATATTTTTTGTTCCTGGTGATCTTTCGATGTCGAAGCACGCGATCGTACAAAATGGCTAAAAAAATTCCGGTATACTGGTTACGAATTTGTCTTGCTAATTCAGGATCTGTTATCATATCATACTCTAGTGAGATATTGTCTTTAGCGGATTTGATTACTCTGCTGTAGTCATAAAAAGTGAGTTCGTATTCTAACCTATCACCTAGGGATGCTTGATAAAAGGGCATGTGACTATCTAGTAATTCAAAGTCTAGCGGAATATAGAATCGGTTAACTAATGCATCAGCAACAGCCTTATCTCCTACGACGGTATTATCACCACTATCAGCACCCACACACAGTCTCAATGTGTTCTTATTACAAATACCTTGGTATTGTAAGTTTTCCCGTTCTTTAGCCGTTCTCCAGAGATCCATGTAACAGAAATATACATCGCTGTCGCCAATACTCAAAACTTCATTGCCGCTAATTTTAGTCGCGATTTTCTTAACAATCGCACGACCTATGTTCTGAATGAGCTCTCTCCTAGCGTCGGTAGAATTCAAACTAATTGTAAATGATAGTTGGTCAGTTTCCGGAACTAACACATCGTGAGCTCCGAGATTAGGAAAGCTAACCAGAAGTGTTTGATTCTGATCAATGGTACTCGGGTTATTAGTTATAGTTACAGACTTGCGAATTGCTTTGACCTAATGGATCCCGAAGTCTACCTTGTGGGTTTAACTTGCGTCTGTATTGCGAAGACATTATTATATTGAAATTATGTAACCTTATGTTTAATATAAAAATGGATGATTTTAATCTAAATAACTTTTATAATCCAAGTACAGTCGAAAAGGGTACTGATGAAACCAGCTTTATGAATCTTAACAATGAACTTTTGCAATCAACCGTGAATGATTATTACGATGCCTTAAAAGATAGTCGTATTGGTTGTGACTATTCAAAGTTTATGATAGATAGTAAAGGAATACTGCGACTGCGTGGCTCTACGGATATTGACCTTATGAGTTCTCGTACTCGTAAGAACCTAGCCTTGTCTACGATAGCCAGTAAATATGTCATCAACGCTGTTCGTAATGAATTAGGTTTTGTAGACTACTCATGAGAAAAAAATTCTGCAAGGACTACTAAGGCTCTTAAGACGGTGCGTACTAAACTCGGTAACATTGATAAAGATAATTTGGAAGAAAGCTTGAAGCTGGCCTCAGACGGACTCGGAGAAATCTTGGATACCTACTACGATAATTCCACGTTACAGGTACCATCCTCGGAGTACAGTAGTATTAGGGAATTACGAGGCCTTGACAAGGCAGTGCAAACAATGCGGGGAGAACTCATCAATAATATAGCCAAGCTATCTGAACTCGACAAGCATATAGATCAAGAGAAAAGAAAACTTAAATTCAGTAGATGCTGCGTTGCAGAAGATTGCGTAACTTAGAAGACGAAAGATCGGCCCGCCTCGAAGCGGCTTCCAGTAATAAAGGCACTTCGTTCACAAATAAGTCGAATTCGAGAAACTGTCGATCAAGTCTTCAATGATGATACTACACTGGCTGAAACATTGTTCAGAGAACAGGGGATAACCATTGCCAGTATTTTAACAGCATTGGGATTTATTATATCGACTTTGACTCTCGCGTTAACCAGTGGTACAGGCGGTACAGGAGGTGACACACCACATAGTGATAGGGGTGGTGTAAAAGAGTGGATAAAAAAGCATTTAAAGGCATTAGGAGAAGCACTTGGAAAGCTCGCTGATAAAGCCGCGTCTGCACTTCCCGGTATAATAGGGAGTATTGTTTCCTGGCTCTTGAATTTATTAGCAAAGACCACCACTTGGCTTAGTCAAAACTTGTGGGTACTGATCGTAGCAATTGCCGAGTTGTTGTACGTATCAGCTAAAGACTATTTAACCAAATCATAAGTCCACTGACTCCAACGCTGTTTTTTCATCGATATGTTGTTGATTTTAGTGGCAATATGTGGTGACACTTGTGGTTGTGCGTCAGTAGATGGCTGTTGTGGTGTCTGTGGCTTGACTATTCCCGTTTCACCTCTGTTTGTTTGCGTTATTAATTCGGTGTAAATATCTGAATTTATACCTGTTTTTTTGTTGATCGGTAGCAATAACAATTTTATTATTATAACCAATCACTTGATCGATCTTAAGTTCCATATTACTCGGAGACATATATAGTCCCGGCACATAAACGTAGTCTACTTTGGATTGAGCGTACTGTAATACATCTTGATAACGCTTTATAGAAGATTTTCTGTCAACGGATGAATTAATAGCATCATCTACGTTTGCGACAAACTGTTTTTGCGCATCGAACGCCGTCCTAGAAACACTTATTCCCGTTCATGTTTGCGATTGTGCAACAAGAATTGCCCATACATAAGTTCTTATTGATTCATTAACTCCTGGGCTAGTAAAATTATTTTCTGTTTTATCATTAAGAAATTCAGTTCAAGCGGTATCATTAACTGCGCTTGTAACGGCTGGCATGGGACTCGGTGAAGCCAGTGTTGGTTAATTATGAACTTTAATCGCCACGCCTATCGTACTTAGCATGGAAATAACAGGACTCAGAGTCTCAGGACTGGCAGGAATAGCGATAAAATTTATTTCTCATAAGTTGCAAAAGAAAGCATTAAAAAATGATAATATTCGGATACTTGCCGAAGCAAAGTTGAACGGCACTGAGGATCATATTTCAACAGCACTGGCTGATTGAAAGATATCCGAGGATGAGTTTCGTTTAGTGCTGTCAGAACTCACCAAATACAACGCAATGAAGCAGGAGATTCGATCAAATTCTCGTAAGACCAGTGGTATTAGCAAAGACGAGAAAAAAAAGTTCATAGAACAGGGGAGACAACAAGCGCATCAATTATTGTGTGCAAAAACCAAAGAACTGGTTGGAGATTAAAAATAGATTGCTTCCTATCGTTGGATAGCACCGCATAAAAAATCATACATTCATTTAAACGAATGCTTACATATATATATAATAATGGAGAATTACAAACCAACAAAGGAAGAACTCGAAAAAGCTATCGAAGCATTTATGCTAGGGGGCAAAATTATCAAATGGAGAGAATTACCACAAGGTATATATTATATCAATGATGTCAAACCAACCAAATACTGTCATCAATTGTTTCTTTCCAATTACCAAGAAGAGTATATAGTCTGGTCTCCTAGTAAAATGAACAAAGAACTTAGTAAAAATGTTGAATATCACTTTGTTAGAAATAATGGTATGCGTATGAGTAAAAAAAGAAAGAAAATATTTTCATTACAATTAAGTTTAATCTCATGACGATCATTGAATCGCATCATCATTTTTGCATAAAAAATTCCGTCTGTAGTAGCAGTATAGGTATAAAAATCTGGCTCCAGTGGGGTTGCGGCAGAACCCCCATTACCTATACTACTCCATGGGCATGTCGTTTCGGAACATCTGTAAATAAAGCCACAAAACCCTTTCCATATCCAATAGAAATCTATACATAAAGCAGAGTCGATTGTACGATTCCGACTATATCATGAGCATGTGTTTATGAATCACTATCAAATCGGTATGATACCAGGTGTACCCAAAAAAGGTGAGCGTATCCTGCCCCTACGGTGGCACCCGTCACAAACACAAGAAAAGGCAAGTCAATTGTTCACCTGAAAAAAACACGGGTGCATGTGGTACAAGTCAAAATAGGGAATTGCAACGGACATCATTTTTGTCACTGATAAGTTAGATATTTCACTTACAATTGTTTATTACCTGACATATGTTTGTGTATTCAAAGACCCTAAATCAAAGACCCCATTTATGTAACATACACAGTGCAGAACAGAGCACGTTATTGTTGAAATTAACATTCGACATTCCGAATAATATTATCATTGCCTTCATTGTCTTGTATCATAATCATCATCATTACTATCACTCTACGGTCCCGGTTACCTATACACGAGGGACTTAATGGATCGGGTGGTCAGGCGAGGTGTAGTGTTTGATAGTTTATTATCGTATCCAGTGGCGAAATTACCATTGCAGAAAAGCAGTTGCTTACACCTATGCAGTAAATTATTTATTCAAACTCTACACTAGGTAGAAAGTAATATTTATTGTCTAACTTGAAAATTAGAATCTTTACGCACTTTAGGATTTCATTGGTAGATGATTTGTGACGTATGGAAACCGCGCTCACACAATTATTTTCAGTATAATGATAGGTCGGCTCGCCTTAAGATATGAAAAAATAAGTAACCGTCACATACTACGAATGAACATGTAAATACACATAAAAGTAATATAATCGATTCGTTTTAATCTCAAATGTAATTTGTCATCATAGATGTTTCTTGAATGAAAGTCGAAAATGTATTGGTGAAACATAATAATAACATAAATACATCATAAAACATTACCAATATTTGTTACAAATAAAATCTAACATAAACGGCCCCAAAAGTTGAAAAAACGTTAAAAAGCAGCTAATTGTCTAAAATGTATGGGTATTAAAGCATGCCTCCAAAGAGTACTAGTTTCCACAATACCCAAACAGTACGTCATCTGCGAACTTGTACAAACACTATTTACAAGTCGTGAACTGATCGCAACATACTGTAATGTTTATTATACAAGAATGCGAATCGGCAATGGTGTGTATTTTGTGTAAGAGCTGATGAAATGGTACAAATATACTGTTCAACAAATACTGTAGATCTGCGGTACAACATGGATCGACTCTCAAATGTTGATATTGATATCAGCATGCCTGCTGAAGTCAAAGGGAGGTAAACCGTATATCAACGCTGGAGCCTTATCTGCTGCACGAGTCGATTCAAAAAGCAGTGCTTGATTTCATAAAGCAAACTGGTATATATGACATAATCTGAACATGCAATCATTCAGTGTAACTGTTCTGTAATCAGATCGCGCATCTGTATTTAATATACTAAAATTCAGCAATAAAGAAAGGTTTTGTTTCCACTAATAAAATTTCAGTGTCCATGTAGGAATGATTTAGACAGTGTCCTAGAGCCGACATTACACCTCCGAGTCCACAACTGGCTTCTAGGGCGGTGTGACCACGTGATCCCTCTCGTCCTGGTCGTTAATGATGACAGCCTCCGTTTTGATCTTGCGCAGTATACCTGGCGCCACGCAGTAAAACACCCTGTAACAGTATTGCTATACGTTAACATTTGTCAAGCAATAAAACGCCCTGTAACAGTATTGTTATACGTCAAGATTTGTCAAGCAATGCAACACCCTGTAACAGTATTGCTATACGTTAACATTTGTCAAGCAATAAAACGCCCTGTAACAGTATTGTTATACGTCAAGATTTGTCAAGCAATGCAACACCCTGTAACAGTATTGCTATACGTTAACATTTGTCAAGCAATAAAACGCCCTGTAACAGTATTGTTATACGTCAAGATTTGTCAAGCAATGCAACACCCTGTAACAGTATTGCTATACGTTAACAATTGTCAAGCAATAAAACGCCCTTTAACAGTATTGTTTTACGTCAAGATTTGTCAAGCAATGCAACACCCTGTAACAGTATAACTATTCGTTAAGATGTGTCACACTGTCAAGCAATGCAACACCCGGTAACAGTATTGCTATACGTTAACATTTGTCACACTGTCAAGCAATGCAACACCCACTAACAGTGAAGCTATACGTAAACACTTGTCACACTGTCAAGCAATGCAACACCCTGTAACAGTATTGCTATACGTCAACATCTGTCACACTATCAAGCAATGAAGCACCCTGTAACAGTGAAGCTATATGTTAACATTTGTCACATTGTCAAGCAATGCAACACCCGATAACAGTATTGCTATACGTTAACATTTGTCACAGTGTCAAGCAATGCAACACCCTCTAACAGTGAAGCTATATGTTAACATTTGTCACACTGTCAAGCAATGCAACACCCTGTAACAGTATTGCTATACGTCAACATCTGTCACACTGTCAAGCAATGAAGCACCCTGTAACAGTATTGCTATACGTTAACATTTGTCACATTGTCAAGCAATGCAACACCCGGTAACAGTATTGCTATACGTTAACATTTGTCACACTGTCAAGCAATGCAACGCCCTGTAACAGTATTGCTATACGTTTACGTGTGTCACACTGTCTAGCAATATCACGCCCTGTAACAGTATCGTTATACGTTAATATCTGTCACACTTTCAAGCAATCAACATGTTTCACACTTTCATGCCATATACCCCACTGTAATAGGCACCCCAAGCACGGAAAGAACTTCTTGGAAAAGGAAGCGTGATCTCAAGTGTAACTGTAACAGGATAGTGCCCTCTGTTTCGTTTCGGACAAGTGACATTTTTATGAAACGATGTCACAAAATGAAACAGTGCTTACAATGCATTAATGTTTATTATTATGAAAGAGGGGACGCGCGTTCATACACATAACCTCTGGATCAACGTCAGAAAGTTTAATAATGTTGGTACATGTACTAAGTAAGTATAATGTTTGTACTAACACAAGTATGATGGCTGTCAGGACATGTGTTCCACCACACGTGAAATAGACGAAACCGCGCATCGTCTCCACGGTTGCATCATACACCGCTCCGTAAACTGCCAGCCCCGTCGTACTCGACACAACTTCCGCCACAGTCAGTCCCGCAAACAAAGAACCTGAACGAATGAAACTTATATCAGTGTATGACATAACACCAGTATCAACCGATTGGTCATCAATAGTATTATCCCGATTCTCAAATCAGGAGCCACAAATACCAATCACAACAACACAAGAGTGTATGACATAACTCCAGTATCAACCGATTGGTCATCAATAGAATTATCCCGATTCTCAAATCAGGAGCCACAAATACCAATCACAACAAACACAAGAAGGGTGATTGTGAATATTAGAAATATAATAAGTAAATACTCACACAACTTCGACAAGGTCGATAATGAAATTGAAATAATTACGAATGATATATAGTTCTACACAGGTGAGGAATAACTTAAACATTCAAACAGTCAAGTTTCCTTTTATGTCGAGCAATATTCCAGCAGCCTTTGTTGTCTACATTTCACAACTGTTGACGTACCAAGGGTCAGGGTTGCAACATTGAAAACCTTAGTAAAGATTTCAAAAAGTTTTATGGCAGACACGTGGAGGACATTTCCAAATTTGACACAACAGTGATTATACTCATGTTCGATGCAAATCCATATTTTGAATTGTAACATAATTATGTTCCCGTGTTTCTTTCGAGTTAACATTTGACTTGCCTTTGCATGTGTTTCTGAGGGTGCCAACGGTTGGGCAGGAACACATGGTATCATCACTTTTTCATAGTGATTCACAATCACATGCTCCTGAAATCCTCGGAATTAAACCATAGATACTACAATATCAGTGTGCACTGGATAAAGCCAGGCTTTGTTTGTTTGTTGTTTAACGTCGCACTCAGCAATATTCCAGCTTTATGACGGTGGTCTGTCAATAAGCGAATCTGGATCAGACAATACAGTGATTGACACCATGAACGTCGAACTACACATTTGGGATACGATGACATGCATCAACCAAGTCAGCGAACCTGCTCACCCGATCCCTTCAGTCGCCACGGCAATGATAAAGCCAGGAGCTATCTAAATTACATAAGCTATCACAACGTTAATGAAAAATGATGAGCACTGTGTAGTGTAATTTACGTAGAATGGGGGCGGTCGGGTAGCCTAGTGGTTAAAGCGTTCGCTCATCAGGCCGAAGACCCGGGTTCGATTCCCCACATGGGTGCAATGTGCGAAGCCCATTTGTGGTGTCCCCCGCCGTGATATTGCTGGAATATTGCTAAAAGCGGCGTAAAACCATACTCACTGACTCACTTACGTGGTGTTATATTACACTTTCTCCAATAATAATACGCCAGAAAAAAGTCGAAAAAAGATTTCCTGTGTTTTGTAACCACTCGGGATCATTACGCAATGATTTACGCAATATGATGGGCTGGCTGAGAGTAGAGAGCTGTGTCATCGCGTTTTGATTGGCTGTCTAAAAATAATTGACGGCACTTATTTCGGATCGGGGATACCCGAGGTCGTTTTAGTACAGGAAATCCCCAGCCAATGTACGAGATTCAGTTGCAGAATGAGAAGACGGTAACCGAAACATATTTTATATTTATATTAAATAAATCGAGGCTTATATTTCATATTTTAAGAAAATAAACACCTTAAATAATTTGAATCAAAAGACATAATCAATTTTAATGCATTAAACGATTAACCTTTACCGGAAAAATATAAATACATATATCTAGGTACTTAAACTAAATACATTCAAGTTTAAATGTAGTTATGTTTTTTGTTTTGTTTTTAAAAAATGAGCCTGAAATAGTATGTTTAGATAATTGAAGTCTTCAAGTTAAAAAAACAAACAAACAAACAAATAATTACAGGCCAAAATGAATGAATTATATTGATCTGGATAAACTCCAACTGTTGAAAGGGGAAACAACTGCGGTGGTTGCAAAACATCTTGGTCGTGAGATGTTCAGTCCGGCATAGGTTGACCGTTTAATGCATTCAAATTGATAATGTCTTTTAATTCAAATTATTTAAGGTGTTTATTTTCTTAAAATATGAAATATAAGCCTCGATTATTTTAATATAACTATAACAAATGTTTTTGACGGTGGGTTACACAAACGATCGATCGGCTCTAGATCAACACTTCGAAACAACGTGACATTTCTTATGTGGTTGATGGTTATTTTTTAAAAATACCAAAAACAATATGGTATGTTTCGCTATTTTATCAGTTTTTTACAAGAATTAATTAACTGTTTCATAAGTTGTTTTATTTATCTTGAAAAAGCCCAGTAAAGAATCTACCGTAATGGCTCACCTGGTCCTGTAATATCGAAGCGGCATCTCGCTTCGGTTACCGTCTTCTCATTCTGCAACTGAATCTCGTACACTGGGAAGCTGAAATTCTCTGATACATCTCCACATATCACTTCCCTTCCTCCCCGACAAATTTTCTCTTGGTCACCATCTTTCGGAGATGGAAACATCGTCACTACGGTAATGTTTTGACAGCTGGGGATTTCCGGTACTAAGACGACCTCGGGTATCCCCGATCCAAAAAAAGTGCCGTCAATTATTTATAAGACAGCCAATCAAAACGCGATGACACTGCTCTCCACTCTCAGCCAGTCAATCAGATTGCGTAAATAAAAATAAACCACTACGAATAAACCATTGCTGGCGATTGGAGATCAAGCCCTGTTATGGGAGAAACCACAAAAAGCAACATACCAGCCATATTATGGCGCATCATGTACACTTTAGCCATGAAGGGAATGATGAGTCCTTACCCTGGACGTCTGCTGGGGCCATCCTGGACACAATCCCCCTGATAACTGGCAACAAGGGAGCGGCTAGTCCTGCCAGAACAGTTTCTGTAAGGCACAAGGACACACGCATTAGGGCTGGGACGAGTCCAAATTTATTACCCGGGTACCCACCCCACTATTACCCGACCTTACCTAGGTACCCACTGTAGGTCTCAAGAGATACAAATGTCCCAATGGAATAGTTTAACCATAGCCCTGGCAAAATATATTTAGATACACGTTTAAAACGATCTGGTCATGCATACACTGAAGTTGACTGAAGTTTTATCTCTATTCACAATATAAAGTCAGAAAGGAATGCGAACAAGTTTTTGCCATTAAACAATATATCACGTGACTAACCACCGGTCCGGGTAGAAGTGTGGGTATCACACAGGAACCACACAGGAACCACCCGCCCCTAGAACCCGAGTTCCCTAGAGCCCTAACACGCATACAGAAAAAATGAGGGCAGGTGTAGGGTGCTTTCCATGAAGCTATCACTCACACATAATATCATTAAATGAAACTTAAAGTCATGTTTAAATTAAACACGAGTCTGAGGAAGAACTATACAGCTATGCATAAATGGTATTTGTAACAATGTAAAAGGATTCCATACTATGTTTTTATCGGAGATGTTCTAAGGCATCACGCGATGACATTAACATAACCATTACACCTTAACATTTAAAGACACATTGACCACTTATTCTGTCATATGACTGCGTTTGTTGTTTGTTGTTTAACACCGCACTATGACGGCGATGTGTAAATAATCGAGTTTGGACCAAACAATCCAGTGACTGACGTCATGAGCATCGATTCATGTAATTGGGATCGATGACATGCATCAACCAAGTCAGCGAGCCTGAAAACCCGATCCTGTTAGTCGCCTCTTACTACAAGCATAAACGCCTTTTACGGCAAGCATGGTATGCTGAAGACCTATTCTAACGCGGTTCACATGACTGTGTGTCACCTGAATGTTAACAGCTTTGCTGAAAGCAACTAGCTCTAATAAGTTGCTGGAACTTAAATACACAGAGTACTCACGTGCATATATCATGTAATCAGTGTAGGCGAGGCCGTGAAGAACGTTGGATCCCCCATTCACCAGTGCCGTCAAAATGGCGATCATCTCGTCCCCTGTGCACATGTGAAACAGCTTGATCACACCAACAGTCAGGAACTGATATAGTAGCATGGCCGCCATTTTGACGTAGCCAATCATCTCTGGCCCCCAGCAAAACGGTTGATTAAGAAGCAGCATATAATCTATGTATCCGGTGCCAGAAATACCTGCATATGTGATGAAGAACGCTATGAACCCTATCCAAAACAATGACCTCTTCCTGCCAAAATCTTTGGAGAAATAGAATCCAAATACGTTCTTAATAGCTTTAATTGGTGCAATGCAAGGCGATTGTTTCTTTTCAAGAGGAACTGTCTCAGGAAGTATAACAATAACGAAGAAGACTGTGAGAAATACAAGAGCTGCTGTCACAAAGGATGGCCATACAAAGCCCGTATATTGGATAAAGTATCCAGTTCCAGCTTGAGAAAGAGCAGCAGCGAAGTATGATGTAAAGTCTACAGCAGCCATTCCAATCGTCCGGGATGCTTTAGGTGGTGTGTTGTCCGCGGTATATACATAGCTGGCCAGACTTACACCACTATATCCGGCCGTGATTCCGGCGATGGCTTCTCCAATATACATGTATCGCAGGTCCATGTCCCAGCACATGACAGCTGTACTCAGCGCATTGCGAATACCTTCGCCCATCAGTGGAATCACAAACAGTATCCGTCGCCCGATATAATCAGAGTACGAACCAAGCAGTATGCAGCTTATAATACGCATCGGTGTGCTAATGTAGCCAAACATTACCGTTATGTCGTTGCTCATTTCTTTAGCTTGAACATGAATCAGGTATGCAGGATCTGATTTGTTGACAAGACATTTTGATGTTACGTTGTTGGAGGAAGTATCTGTCCCATTGTCCACTATCTCGCTTAAGTAACGCTGATATAGATACTGAGAGAGAACAGGATCCCTCATAGAAACAGCCAATTGAAAGGTCAGGAACACGAGATTGGCCTTGAGGAGATTTCCCAACTTGGATCTGTCTTCTGAATCTTTCCTAGCATTTAGCAGCGGCGTTGACTCCATACTGACAGCAGGCAAGGTTATTCACAACACCCACCACTTCTCTGTGTGGGAAATGACCATAGGTTATCGTTTTGTCTGTAATCACACATGTGGCTACACAGTTAGGTGTATGAGAGATACAGATATCAAAGTTGCTAGGTCGGGATGAGTGATTGACAAACTATGCTTTTAAGCTCGTAATCAGTCGTGAGTGAACTAGTGAGTGAATGTTGACAACGCACTTTACAATATTGCGTTATAATATTGTTATGTCAATGCGGCTTGTGAGGATTCGAATTTGGACAAGACAGACATTCTAGTCAGTATTGGCGCAAGTGAGGTTTTCTGTGCTAAGGTATTCCTCCCATGGACTTCAGTACATTACAACTTACTGGTCATAAGCAACAACTGTGTGGTTCATGTGGATGCAGTTTATGTCCTGGTTGTCACGTGACCCGATGGCTTGTATTATTGCACATGCAACCTACGGCCGTGCCCCGTGAGGACTATATTATTTACAGACTGCCCGGATATAACGGTAATATTGCTGACGTAAAACAACACTCACTCATTCAATCACTTCATTTCAGTTTTAGAGATCGTAAACGATGGATGGTGGTTAAGTGCATAAGATGTAAAATAATGTAAAATGGAGATTGCACGAATGACGGAACCTTTGTATTATTGCAAGCGTACATAATGGTGATCGTTCCTCCTCCACACATACACATACAAACGCACCACACCGCATCGCGTCGCATCGCATAACACTACACCACACACACACACTCACACACACATACAAACACACACACACACCAGACATACATACACACACCAAACATACAAACATACAAACACACCACACCACACGTACAAACACACAGACAGGAGGGGGAGGAGGGAGGAAGGGGATGAGGAGGGGAGGCGGGATGAGGGGAGGCGGGAGGAGGGGAGGGAGGGAGGAGGAGGAGGAGGGAGGCGGGGGAGGAGGGAGGAGGAGGAGGAGGAGGTGGGTTCTTTGTTTTGGTTTGAGGGTAGTCAAAGCAATCGATGAAAGCGTTCTTTCGGGAGAGATGGTTGAAAAAAACAAACTGGAAACTGGAAACGGCAGGAACTGTAGGGAAACTGGAACACTGGAACACTGGAAACGATTGGAAACTTGAAAAACAGTGGAACAGCATGTGCCATGCGTTAGTCACTTTGCTCAGATGATCTATCTTCTTTTTCTTCTTCCTCCTCTTCCTCGGACTGATGACGTCGCCGACGCTTTGAAGAGTGCCTTATTGAGGGGCTTCTGTCCCGTTTTCTTTTGCCTAGACGTGGTGTGACGTCTGCATGGAGTTGTGCGATGGATTCTTAGGGCACGGACCTCTATATGCAGGGCTTCTATGAGATGAAGCACTTGTGTCACTTGTGTCACTGATGTCGACATGGACGGCGCTGCTGAAGTCTTCTTTCGACTGGGTTCTGGGCAATCTGCAGCGAAATGGCCCACGACTTGGCAATTGTAACATGGGCCCTGGGGAGTCTTCTTTCGACTGGGTTCTGGGCAATCTGCAGCTAAATGATCCACAACTTGACAGTTGTAACATGGGCCCTGGGGAGTCTTCTTTCGACTGGGTTCTGGGCAATCTGCAGCTAAATGATCCACAACTTGACAGTTGTAACATGGGCCCTGGGGAGTCTTCTTTCGACTGGGTTCTGGGCAATCTGCAGCTAAATGATCCACAACTTGACAGTTGTAACATGGGCCCTGGGAAGTCTTCTGCTCATCTTCACTGCTTATCTTTGGACAGACATAGTGGCGGTGACCTTGAGTGTGGCACTCGGTACATGTCACTTCAGGGCAGTACAGGTAACTGTGACTGTCGGTCTGGCACTTCATACAGTTGTATTGAGACGACATGGTTGATTTCATAGAATGCAGTGTGTGCGAGTGGGTTCCCTCTTGATTTATAGGAAAGGGACTGACACCCTGCTTCCTGATTGGTCCAACATGCAGCCCCCCTGATCGGTCCGTTCCGGCGCCTGGTCTGCACTTCGGTTTTCCAAAACGGGCCGACCATTTTTTATTTTTCGTTCACTTCTCCATCAGGACAAAACACTTAAGATGTTCTTTCCAGGGTTTGTCTGTGGCTTCCCATTGGCAGAGGGTCACACTGCAGCAATAACAGATAACACAGTCACCTCGTCGTTGATAGAAATAGCCAGCCATGGCCATGTCATAAGGGGTCTGGGTCATCTGTTTAGGCCACGTTTGAAAAGACCTCAGACGTTCTTGAAATGAATCATAGTTAGGATGAGAAGGATGACAGAAGGTGTAAGAAGGAGAAGGTCCCTCCAGAAATGTCACTGAGTCGCTATGTGTCATCCATAAAGAGTGTGTGTTTTCTTGCTTGTTCTCTCGCCTTTTCAGACACCCACTCGGTATCGGGGACATCTCGGGCTGATGGCATGGCATTCATAGACCGTCCACTGAAGGAAGGTCTGGGGGTTTGCCTGCTTTTGTGAAAGTCGGTCGATATAGGAGTCAAAGAGTCCCTCTTGCTGTGCAAAGGTGTCGAAATACCAGACGTTGAAGATCTGAAGCACCTTGTAGCCATACTTCTTCACGGCTTCATGGAGTTCTACGATGGAGTACATGCCCAACCAAGACCTCTCATCGTCCGTGTGCTCGCAGGGTTAGTCTGACCAGGTATCGGCACACATGCGGCACAAAGGACAGAGCAGAAGAGTCGTTTCGGGGGTCGGACACGACATTGGATAAGTCCTTTCAGCTCAAACAACGTGTCCACTGGCGGTTGATGGAGAAGGATTGGTGTCCCGTGGGAAACGCACCGGTCTTGCAAATGTAGGGATAAAGTGAACAGATATCAATATACTTGATGGTTTCACCTTCTTGGGCTTTGTAGCATAATCGAGTGGCTTTGGTGCGTCCTCCATAGAAGGCGTCGCAAGGGTTGAGCGGACCAGGTACGTAGATACAGTGGGGTCCCTGCAAGAAAGTATGCAAAGCGGAGTCCTCCTGTTGCATTTTTTTAAATTGCACTCCCACAGGGTGACGACCCGTTTCACCTCAGGGTGTTGGTTCAAGAGACTCGGTATAATGTGCCCCCATCGACGTGCCCAGGATGGGAGGAGGTTCTCCACGTTCGGTCCTGTGACATTTTTGACACCCATGCCAGAAACACCCCAGGAATTCGTAGATTGAATTCATTTCCTCTTCAAAGGGATCCATGTGAACCGTCCTGATGGCGTTCTGTCGGAAGTCAGCGCATCCACGTCTCAAAATGTCGACATCACTCTGACAGTAGGCTAAGAGTTCTTCTTGCAAGTCAAACAATGCTCCTTCTTGAACTTTCTTGGTATGCCACTGGAGGAAGGCAGTGCGTTCTGCGGGAGACATGCCATCGGGATCGTACATGATGGTTGGTGGATAGGGACCTCTGTAGGTCTGGGTGGCTTCGGTATTGAAAAAGTGTGGAAAATACCCTTTCTTCAGTTCATTCAGTCCAAAGGTCTTTGGAAATGCTTTCAGCGGGTAGGGTATGAATTCAAATTGTCTTCGAAACACAATCGTCCCAGGGTAACCTGTAAAATCTGTTGTCCATTTCGAATCTCTATATATGTTTGTATGTCTGTCTGTCTGTCTGTCTGTCTGTCTGCCTGTGTACACGAGTGTCATCACGTTTGCATGTAGACACGAGTAAAACACCACGTATGTCTATCGATCTCTCTATCCTTATCCATCTCAATATGATAAATAATCATATTAATAAGCGTCTGTTTGAAGACACGTATGACATCACGTTTTGCATGAAGACACGTGTGACACCACGTTTGCATAGAGACACAAAGTACATAACGTTTGCATGGAAACACGTATGGTAGTATGCATGTAGGCATACACGTGTGCTAACACCTCGGCGTGGATGAACAAGTGATAATCATATTGATAAACGTCTGTATGTAGTCACGAGTGACATCACATTTGCATGCAGACACAAAGTACATTACGTAGGCATTCCCACATCACGCCCATGTCTGTCCATGACGGTCCACCTTTAGAATTCAGACGACCGTCTACCTAAAAACATGACTACCCGAAAGAATAGGATCGAAATCTGACCAATCAGAGGCTTGGGTTGTGGACCAATCAGAGGCCGCGTTCAGCCTGTGCTGTCCTCTGATTGGTCGAACCGGGGTTGTGCTTTCTCTCCCATGGTAAAATCCTTTTCCTATGGAAAGGAAACACAAGGGTCGGAAAACCGAGGTGCAGGCCAGGCACCGGAACGGAACAATCAGTTCGCTGTGTGTTGGATCAATCAGGAAGCAGGGTGTCAGTGCCTCTCTCTCCTATAAAACAAGAGCGAACCCACCCCCACCCACCCCCACCCACCCCCACCACACACACACACACACACACACTGCATTCTATGAGATCATCAACGCATCGATAATGGCAACCACCTCAGGAAATTGGGACTTGGAGTTAGTTTCAGTTGCACACCCTTTGCCACTGTGCAAAGAGTGTCAGCGAAACATGGAGACAGAAGCAGTACCAACATTGCCATCGCCATGGCAATGTAGCCTCTGCCATGGCTGCCTGCCTGTGTATGCGCATGGAACGAGGGCACGTGATGGCACATTCCAGTGTGTCTATTGTCATACCGTCCTGAAGGACACTTACGTGAGGCGTTTAAGCCACACAAGTAAGTGTCCTGTCAGGAGACAACAAGCCATCCGTGCCTTTGCACCACTGCGTGTATGTGGGTGAGGGAGTAATCTTCTTCTTCTTCTCCAAAACGGCCCTTTTCAGGGCCACCCATCTCTCCCGAAAGAACGCTTTCATCCATTGCTTTGACTACCCTCAAACCAAAACAAAGAACCCACCTCCCTCCCTTAGTTTATGTGAACGTGTGAATGGTGTGATAGAAAAAGAACGTGAAATGGTTTTCTATCTATGAAAGAATATGAATTCTGTGGCACACTGATGATACAACCCAGGTAACAGTTGAAGGTGAAGTGCTAGTTGCAGGTGTCATTTCCCTCAGAACAGTCACTCACTCTAAATGTTTAAAATGCCAACATCACATCAGGGAGGGAGGTATTTAATACCGCCACCTAGACATGTACTCACGTTATGATTGCCCCGTGAAGGTCTTCAGCAACCCATGCTTGCCGTAAAAAGCGACGATGATTGTCGTAAGAGGCGACTAACCGGATCGGGTGGTCAGGCTGGCTGACTTGGTTGATGCATGTCATCGTATTCCAATTGCGTGGATGTATGCTCATGATGTCAATCACTGAAATTGTCCTGATTATTTACAAACCCCGTCATATAGATGGAATATTGCCTGAGTGCAGCGTAAAATGACAAACAAACAAAACACTATGATAACTGCAGACACCAGTTGGAATCCCGCACAGATGAAGACGTTGTCTTCCATCTCGCCGGTGGAGAAGAAATCGTGATTCATCGCTAAACCACACTCGTCTCCAGTTTATCAAATTCCAAGGCTGTAAAGTATGGCACCAACGCAAGCGTCGCTGTCGATGGATCTGTTGCAAAACAGGGACGATAACTGGTCTTCTTGGTCGGATTCCAGCCTCGCGAAGATGGTTCCTGACAGTCTTGTCCCATACCCTCCTCAAACCAGGAATGCGTCCTGCAGTCTCCGTAGCCGTGGCATTGCGATGACGTAGGTGGAACAGTCGAATGTAGCGATCCTGTACAGGGATGGTAACTCTTGGTCGGCCGGTTCTCGGACGGTCTGCAATGGAATTGATCTGTGTGTATCGGTCCCAAAAGCGGCAAATGGTGCTGTAGTGGACGTTGACAACAGAAGACTGCGTTTCCCCTCTTTGGATACGTCCTATGGCGATGTTCCGATCGGCAGCGCTTAGTCGGCAGCGCTTAGTCTCGGCATTTTCGAATGGCTGCGTTTTGACGCACCGTTTGTCGAATATCAGGCCACCAACATTTTCAAAAACATATATCCAATTTATATACCTTTTTTTGTGTAGTCAGGTTCAATGAACTACATACTACCTGTGCGTTTCTTTTTTTGACGAGTGTACATGCATTAGGTGAGTTGAGGTGAGGTGAAATGGGGTTTAACGTCGCGTCGAAGATTATTGCACTTATATAGCGACGTGCATGCACGTGTGTGGTCGTTCTGACGTGACTCGTAATGGGATGTCCTCAGATCTTTGTTTAGTGGCGGCGAGAACTTAGATCTGATTTGAATGAGATTGATATATATCATGTGTTTCAGTTTGCAGGGTTACTGTTACAGACTTTCCCAGCTGCATTAATGAAGGTTATCACGAACAATAGGGTCTACACATGGTGGCTATAAGATCAGAGTAATTGTGAGAATTTAAAACCTATAGTTCAGTTAATCACATACTGCATTATCACCTCAAGTTGATAATAATGTTAAAATTAAAATGGATTGAAGACTTAAATTTTAATACTCTGGAATAGGAAGTGTTTATTTTTCTTGTTTTCTTTAAATCAATTTAAGGTTTCTCTCTATGCAAATATATGACATTGCTGTTAATACATGGTTTGTATACAAGGAAATAAAAACCAACAACACATCCACATTTGACTTATCAGTGACTAAAATGATATCCAATGAAATGTGTGTGTGGCGAGTGTCATTTCGTGAACAACTGGTATCATCTCTGTTTGAAACTTACTGATAAGTTCATACTATCTCCGCTAGTCATAAAGGGTTGGTTGTTGGTTGGTTTGTTGTTTTACGCCGCACTCAGCAATATTCCAGCTATATGACGGCGGTCTGTAAATAATCAAGTTTGGACCAGACAATCAAGTGATTAATATCATGAGCATCGATCCACGTAATCAGCGAGCCTGACCGACCGATCCCGTTAGTCGCCTTTTACGACAAGCATAGTCGCCCTTTCCGGCAAGCTGGATTGCTGAAGACCTATTCTACCCCGGATCTTGACGGGTCTGACATAAAGGGAAAGTCAAATATTGGAAGTTGACGTCATACTTCTTGTCATACTGTCTTGTCACAATCATATCGTATGTTATCTGAAAGCTATTTAATCTGTTATCATCACATTGAACTTAAAGAATTATTCTAATGTGCATAGCCATACACGAGGGTCCAGCTGAAATCGAATGATGTCTATCATGGCCAGGTGCCTCTAAATGAGGCTGGACCACCTCCGTGGATAGAACGTTGTTTAAGTCTTGCTGTGTCAGCAACATACAGGTCAGCAATGTGTTTCGCTGATCTGGAACGTCTTACAACTCATTCATCACTCACACCCGTATTAAACAGACGTGATCAAACAACATTTTTCATATCAGAGGATTTATGTTATCATGTCAGAAAGATGTGTTTGTGTTGGACTGTGTGTGCACCATTCTGCACTTTGGTCCTCAATTACAAAGTGCGCCAATTGTGGCATGTAAAGTGTGATACAATGTCTCGCGCGTCATGTCAAGTACTTGATAATACGGATAACGACCATTGGGTTCAACGAACAGTGTTTACATCATCAACGAACAGGGTTGACAGTTTGAAACCATGTCAAATAGCCTGGACATATTCTTGTATAAGGATTAAACGAGATACGTTGGCCTCAGTTACCACTGTTAGTATACAATGTAATGTCCTTTATTGTTTAACGTCGCACTCGGTATTCACGTCATGTCCGCTCACGTGTGCGTCACAGCAGAAAAAGTATACTAGTGATTTTGATGCACAGACAATACATATTAATATCATAACTGAATTCACTGTTCATGTAATTTATTATCTATCAATAAATTGTGTAAACATATAAATCTGTCTTGGTCACCCTCTCCCTCATTGGTCTGTTTCAGTAAAGCCGTCTCTCTTAGAAACATGCTCTTCACTCCGAAGACCCGGGTTCGATTCCCGACGTGGGTACAATGAGTGAAGTCCATTTGTGGTGTCCCCCGCAATGATTATGCTGGAATATTGCTAAAAGCGGCGTAAAACCTCACTCACTCCTCTTCATTGTCCGTGGTAACATTGAAAACACAATTTTCAAGAAAGTCACCCAAATGTGATGTTTAACATGTGTTATGTTGATATGTACGGGCGATGAGATGTATGGACATTGGTGCCAGTAAAGCAAATGTTAGTGACAGTATGCTGCAGTGTTTCTATTTGTGTGGTAGGCCTAGAATTGCCCTGTGGGTGCTTAAAATGATGCATTCTTGTATATACTATATTTTACGTCGCCAAACTCATCGGTGTCATGATTACATGCCGAATTATTCCCCGACGTCGACAATCACCCTGGTACCTCCCTCTCTGATTCCTCACAATAATCACTAAATCGTTTCCTGTCCCTATTCCTTCATCCCTCCACCGTCACTTCCACCCTCAACCCCCAATCTTGTCTTGCTCATATTCCTTCCATATATCAACACCATGTACAACATCTTTAAGAATGTTAATAAAATACACAAGCTTTTACATATGTACCTGTATTTAAATAATGACGACTCCCTGAATACAGGGTGGTTAAGTTTGGTACCTCCCAGATATGCATACGTATCGGAAGACATTCAACACAAAATACATTGACCTCAAACCATTGTTCTCACGGCGTTACGCATGATTGTTTGTTAGTGATGTTGGCGGACATTGCCATGGGGTATATCCTCCGTTGCTTAAATGTTGTACTGGAAGCTCATTCTGGAATGAGGAAAAAATATTAGAATCAAGTCGGTACGGGGTCTATGATGTCAAGAGTTACTATTCAATTCATATTTCGCTATATTTCCACACAACACGGCGGTACGGGTGGCCCAGGCGTCTAAGGCGCCGCGATTCGCTGTGCAGAGTTGCGTCCCATGGCCACGCCAGAAACCTATGATTGTGGGTTCGAATCCCGGTTCGCCCCGATTATGTTTCTAGGTTTGTCAGCACCATACCCGTGCTCTCGGGTTTCACCGAAGTGGTAAACGTCTGGGACCTGCATCACTTCGGGCTTACCTCCCACATTAAGCTGACACGCCGTGATATTACTGGAATACTTTTAAAAGCGGTGTTAAACCCAGCTCACTCACTCACTCCACACAACACAGGGGCATGCTCAAAGCGCTCCATTATTACCCTGGTCAGTGGATCAGTGTGCACTCGATTTTCATTCTCAGCTCACAAGGGAGTATACAACCCAGCTGCCAGTGTTTAACATGTTACAAATTCAATTAACAAGATAGCGTTTGTGTAAATCATTCGAAATGCATTCAACGTTTCGTCTCAAATCAACGGGTATTTTTACCTCTAAACTTTCGAATCTTCTTCTGCTGTGGCTGTGCTTGGTGTGGGCTCCTTGTTGTCCTGTATGTTGATGATCTCCGTCCGTTGCATGTACCCCATCTTGCCCAGCACAGCGAACCCACTGCATCCAGAATTGACGATCATCATGACATTTTATTTTTTCTGGTATATTATTCTTTTATTCAAAGAAATTCATTCAGTTCAGCTTGGTATTTAAAATATTTAACTTTTGTTCCTTTTTACTACATTTTTGGTATTTTTGTTTTTTTCCAGGTTAAAAAATCCGTGTCAGAATGCTCAGGGTATCTTTTCTGATTTTAAAGTTACTTCCTGTCATTCAATACCGCATGTTCTCCCAAGACAGACATGTTGAAAGGATTCAAAGGAAATCATTGAAGATTTAAAAGGAATCGCAAAGGATTTATTATGGGAGTGGAAAGTCTACAGTATTTTGTACGTTTTTATTTTGTCATTTATTTATTTCAATGTTTATTTTTACTTTTTATTGTTTTGTTTGTTTGTTTACATTTTTACTTATGATTGTTATTGTTTATTTACTTTAGCTTGTACCGGTTTAACTCTGTACAGAATATGGAATAAATTATTTACCACACACAACAGCTATTACCACATACATGGAAACCCTTCACCGGGAACTCGTTCAGAACAACGGAATCAGTCGTTGAAGTTGAACGCTGCTTTTAAAGAATTTGAATGACAGGAATAATAAGGAGTATACTTCACACAAGGTATCAATGTGTGCAATCAAACCCATGCCGATGAGCGAACGCTTTACCCACAGGTCTACCCCATCGCCCCTTGTTTACGGATTTAGAAGGGAGTATTTGTAAATATTTGTCCCTTTGTATATACATGCATGTAAACATTCACGCAAGAGTAGGGATCACGGGTGGCCTAGTCGTCTAAAGCGCCGCGATTCGCTATGCAGAGTAGCGCCCCTTGGGCACGCCAGAAACCTTTGATTGTGAGTTCGTATCCCAGTTCGCCCCGATTATGTTTCTAGGTTTGTCAGCACCATATCCGTAGTGGTAAACGTCTGAGACCCACATCACTTCAGGTTTTCCTCCCACATTAAGCTGACACGCCGTGATATAACTGTAATACTGTTTAAAACGGCGTTAAACCCAACCCAATCACTCACTCACTCACTCACGCAACAGTAACCGTCGAAAAGCGGGGTTCTAGACTATTGGGGTTTCATGATATGTTAATACATATCTTCCATGAAATGATGTACTTATACAGCAGAGGAAATGCTTATACATACATCAGACAGATGGTGGCCGTACACTGAAGTCCCGCAGAAACAAGGTAGGTAACTCCCTTAAAGATGTCCAACGTATACTTGTAGATCTCGCTAAACATGGGCGTCCCAGTTATCGAGGTAATGATGTTGGCAATGGCTAAGCTTGAGAACACAGCACCTGAAAAAGTTTGTTTGTTCGTTATTTAACACCGCAATATTCCAGTTTTATTACGGCGCTATGTAAGTAATCGAGTCTGGACCAGACAATCCAGTCATTGACATCATGAACATTGACACCCAAGCAACTGGGATACGATGACATGCATCAACCAAGTCAGCGAGCCTGAACACCCGATCCCACCTCTTTCAACAAGCATAGTCGCCTTTTACGGCAAGCATAGGTTGCTGAAAAGCATGAAGAAGAACAGCTCGTCAAAACACATTCCTAAAATTTTTGTGAGCGACATCACCAAAACGCAACAAATTGCCTGCACATCATGGAAAACGTGTTTTGTTTCAAGGGAAGCATGCAGAGTAGGGCTATGAAACGTGCCTTGGGCATGCTTCAAGTTGGTGAGTGAGTGAGTTTGGTTTTACGCCGCTTTTAGCAATATTCCAGCAATATCACGGCGGGGGACACCAGAAATGGGCTTCACACATTGTACCCATGTCGGGAATCGAACCCGGGTCTTTGGCGTGACGAGCGAACGCTTTAACCACTAGGCTACCCGACCTCCCCTCAAGTTGGTACGTCAAGTAGAGTCGTTGCACAACGGTTTCGATGCCATCATTCAACAGTCCTCAGGCTACTGAGCAGATACCAGCAGACAAAAACCACCAGAGATCGACCACGTCCGGGTCAACGTCGCGTAACTACACCACGTCAGGATCGCCATATTGTTCGTCGGCATCTTCGTGATCGTACACTTCCGGCTACCAGGACTGCAGCAAACGTACAAGGCCGATGGGGTTTGATCAGCGCTGACACCGTACGTCGACGTCTTCGCTCAGCAGGGCTACGCGCTCGACGCCCATATGTTGGACCCATACTCACTGATCGACATCGAAATGAACGTCTGCGTTGGGCCAAAAGGCATCGTCATTGGAGATTGCGGCAGTGGCATGGTGAGCTGTTCTCTGATGAGTCCCGTTTTCATTTACGGAATGCTGACGGTCGACTGCGAGTGTGGCGTCGACGTGGAGAACGTTACCACAATGACTGCGTTGTACAGACAGATCGATGGTGGGGAGGGAGTGTCATGGTGTGGGGCGGCATCAGTCATAACCATCGAACAGAGCTCCATGTTTGTCGTGGAAGAGTTAATGCCCTTTACTACAGGAATAACATATTGGCAAATCACGTCATCCCATTCTTTCATCAGCACCAGGATATGCACACCTTCCAGCAAGATAATGCAAGAGCGCACACAGCAGGTGTTTCAACACAGTACCTAGCGAACAATAATGTGCCTCTGCTTCCATGGCCAGCCCTGTCACCCAATCTATCGCCAATTGAACATCTATGGGATTACCTGGGTCAACGCCTCTCACGTCGTCCGCAAGTACAGAACCTGAGAGAACTTTAAGATACACTATGTCAAGAGTGGAATGCCCCAGAACACTATTTGCTGACTTATTTGATCAATGAGAAGACGTTGCATGGCCTGTGTTGCTGCCAATGGCGGACATAGCAGATATTGACTTTTCATTTTAACCCTGTGTCTTCCTTACACTGATGACGTAAATGTAATTACTGTGTGGTATTCCTGTTTCCTTTGTCGTCTTTCTTAATAATCCGTCTATGTCTGTTCTAATTAAAATCGGTCATTGCTCAAGTTGTTTTTGTAATATTTCATGATTTATTGCTGGTGCGTTTTCAATGCTGTTCAGTATATATAGCATGTTCTTTGCCAACAGTATTTGAAAACGCATGTTGAGATTGGTCTTCAACTTGCAAAAAAAGAGATACATACCTTGTCGATCAGCCCCGGCCATGCTCGATACCATGGATTTAATTATCGTCGAAACTGACAAATCAAATGCCGATATGAAAGCCACTGAAATAAACAAATATGATATATTGTCAAATAGAATGATAAAGTAAAATGTCCTTGCTGTAATAAATGTTATTTTCAGTGTCAACAATAATGTGTCCATTGCTTTGGAATGAAACAGTGAGTGAGTGAGTTGGGTTTAACGCTGCTTTTAACAATATTCCAGTTATATCGCGGTGTGTCAGCTTAATGTGGGAGAAAAGCCTCAAGTGTTGCAGGTCCCAGACGTTTACCACTTCGGTGAAACCCACGATCACGGATATGGTGTTGACAAACCTAGAAACATAATCGGGGTGAACCGGGATTCGAACCTACAATCATAGGTTTCTGGCGTGGCCAAGGGACGCAACGCTACGCCCTAAACGACTGGGCCACCCGTGTCCCCCTGTGAGGTGTACCCCTTACATACTTCATTACTTTCAGTAGGTTCCTTTTTTCTTCTTGTTTGGGGGGGGGGGGGGGGGGGGGGGGGGGGAGGGTGCGACATTGTGCCAATTCAGTTTAGTTCTGGATGCCGTGGTTTGTATTCTATGGAACTTACACATTATGTCTATGTAGTTAGGTTAACTCTTAGATGGTATAATGTGACTTAACTGTCAAACAAAATAATGTTTGAACAACATTTTTCAACTTTAGACATAAAGACAAGTAATGGCCCTGTTCTCCTAACGGAGTGGCCAATAGTTTGTCATGCTCACCTCCATACATCATGAAGTTGTCATAGGCAAATGCCTTCAAAACAATTCCTCCTGTGTAGGCGATGTTGCTCCAAATGGCGATGAACCGATCGTTGAAGCAGCATTGAAACAGCTTCAAGAGAGGGAGTTTTATTACCTCAGCGAATATGGAGGATGCCGTGCTATAGTACCCCATCATCTCTGGGCTCCAACAGAAAGGGTAGTTCATCTCCCATAGTGTACCAATGTTGCCAGTTTTTCCAGCAATTTCGTGGAGGAAATATGCAACCAATGCCAATGAAAACATTACTCGCAGTTTGACTGTACCTTCGAAAAAGTAAAAGCTAAACACGTTCCGCACAGCTTTAAGGGGAGTAAGAATGTTTTTCTCCTCTATTTTCTTCTTCCGTAGTTTGGATGCGGCGGCTACCTTTCTCTTCCCCGGGAGGATGAATACAACAGCCAGTATGTTGAGCAGTAGGATGGCTGCTGCAGTGAGGGAAGGAAGGACGAACCCTTGAAGTTGTATGTAGTAGCCCACGCCGGTGGACATGGCGGCCCCCGTCAGTGACTCGGTAATGGTTGTAGCAAGAAGAGCAACGGTTCGAGACCCTTCAGGTGGCGTGTTGTCAGCAACGAATGCGCTGCTTGCAATTGCGAAAATCTCGGCTGCGCAAACGCCAGTTAGGACTGCTGTTAGAAAAAATATTCTGATGTCAAGAGACCATTGTATGGTTATTGTCACTAGAATAAAATCTATCAAATATCCTATCAAGGGCAGCAGGAACAGCATCTTTCTTCCAAAATAATCCGAGTAGGCACCGAATAGAATGGTGCTGACTAGGGAAAACGCACAGCCGACCAAGGAAAAGTACATGTTCATCTGAGATGCAAGTTTTTGTGCTTCTTTTTGAAGAGAGTACCCGTTTTTGCTGTTAGAGTCGCTCGCATTACCAGAGGGTTTATAGCACTGAGTGTCGTTCAAGGTACTTGAATTGTGTCCTGACGGTAGTGTGCTGTTACCAAGCACTTCATCCAGTATTCGTCGATAAAGGTATTGTGAATATACGGGAGCATGCATGTGGTTAGCAATGGTCCAGATGATCTGAATAATGTTCAGCAACACCAAATTCATTACCTGTACCTTGGCAGTGACCTTGCCTTTGTTCGCCTCTTTGTCCAGGAAAACCTCATCCTCACTTCCACCGCTCCTTTGTCTATTGAGGATCCTACAGATCTCATCTGGGTCTATCGCAGTCCTTTCATCAAGGCTTGTTTGGGGTCTTCGGCGTTTCCAGCTCTGAGTCCATCCATCATCACTATCATCTGATTCTGCCGAATGTCGGAGCGGTGGTGCCGACTTTGGTCTGACTCTAACATAGACATCCTTGACATCCCTTGCTCCTACACTGGCGATGCTATCGTCCCAGGATATCTGTCTATGCCTGAGTGGATCGCAGTCTTCTGTGGACTCGGAGAATTGGATTTTACCGCCAGGAGTCCTTTCTAGATCTCTTCCCAGTAGGGGTGTCCTCTCGCCCATCTTTGCTGCTGATGATGTGGGTATGTGTTACATCTACTACAGATGTGTTGTTCTATTTATGTCAGGTATCATATAGCTGATATGATATGTCATATACGTCACCTGTCTAATGATCTCTCCGTGTGTGTAGCTGACCCTGTTATCTCTTGTTGACCATGGTTAAAGACTTCCAGCCGAAGAACATTTGCATCATGGTAAACGTGAAATATTAAATCACATATTTTGTGCCAGCTTTTACACGACTCATGATTTCATGATAATTGCAACTTTGATTTTGAAGGAAGTGTAAGCTTTGTCCTGAAACAATACCTTGCCGGTCATGCGATAGGTCAGACCAATGGTAATCTGAAGTTGGTTATATGACATCTCGAGCAAAGCAAACTAATGAGTTTCCTCATGATAAGACAGGTGTTGTGACACATAACCCACTAACTGACTTTGCTCCTTCCTGATTTACTCGGGATTTAATAGGTCATGTGAGTGAGTGTTGACAAGTTGTGGGCCACAGATAAGTTCGTGTGCCGGCAGCCAAAGGTTTTTAATCAGGTGAATCGAGCTACAACTATGTGACAACAAGCGATGGCGCCTCAACGACCCGCTGATAGTACTTGGCAGTACTCTTCTCAAATAAAATAGAAACGTTTTATACGAATAGTACTCAAAGAAAACGAATACGTGAAATATGTACATGTATATAGTATTTCCATCGCAAAAGCATATCCGAGTGTCATAATATCATATCATAAACAAATAATTCAATGACAGTATTGATAACATCACACTGTGTCGATCTATATTTTGGCTCATGTTCACAGTCAAATGTTAAGAGTTAAGCAATATCCCAGCTACATTGACGATGGCCTGTAAATACTGATCCAGGTAAACCAGTGACTGAAAGTACGAGCAACGATTCTGATCAGCCCATCCTGACTATCCTATCACTTCCTTATATGGTCCTCAAGACAATAACAGCACACTGCGACCCGGGATTCCCCACACATCCCATGGATCCGAAACGCCGCAAATCCCTGAATTGTTTCTCAGCTGCCAGAGGGGCGATGAGGTTTCATCTTCATCACAGGCGTCTCCGCCCTGATGGATTATTGCTATAGGAGACGTTAAACTACTTATTGAAACCCGCTGATCTTGGGTTCGAATCCCAGGTTGTGCCATCACCATATCCAAGCTCGCTGAGATGAACAGTGGTTTGTTTGTTTGTTGTTTTACGCCGCACTCAGTACTATTGCGGTATGTAAATAATCGAGTCTGGAACACACAATCCAGAGATTGCCATCATTGCAATTGGGATGCGATGACATGCATCAACCAAATCAGCAAGCCTGACCACCCGATCTCGTTAGTCGCCTCTTACGACAATCATGGTCACCTTTTACAGTCTATGACATATGTTAAGCTAACACGCCACAACAGGAACCATTCCCCAGTTTGGCAGCAGAGTTGTGATGAAGTCATATAACTTCTGGAACAAGGAATAAATATAAATATCCAACTATATATATATAAGGAAGTCTGTGAGTCTGTGAGGTTTGATGAGTGATAAGATGAATTCATGCATGGCTTGTCATCAGGTGTACGATAGAGATCCGAGGGCAACCTCATCACACGCCATCACACCTGGTCGTCGTCCTCCGTTGGGGTCGTGCTCTTCGGCTCCGTCTGGTTGTCATTGATACTGATGTGTTCCACCTTAGTGTGGTATCCCATCCGACTCAGAACGGCATATATTCTGCAAAAAAGATGAGTCAATAAGTATGATTTTAAGGCCACTGTTAGCAATAAACTATCACATTCACGGCGAAAGAGCCCGATTCGCATTCGACTGAGGCAGGCATGGGAACCAGAGTAGGGAGCAAAGGCTTCAACTACTTTGCCAATAATGTTGATGGAGATGGCATGACATGTCCATCCTGACTCCAACTGATAGGGTACCATACCGAATAATATTCTTCAGAATCATACCCTTGTTCATGGGTTTCACCAAGGGTGTACCTCTTAGATCTGCATCACTTTGCGATTTCCTCCCACATTGTGCTGACACGTCAGGGTATAACTTACTGAAATGTTGCTGGTCAAACCTCTCTGACGGAAACGAAATTCCACTTGAAAATAATATAGTCGGTGCTTGTTCAAGTCCACAATACTTACACAATCATGATGGTGGCAACAGCTTGAAATCCTGCCACGACCAGATAGGACACACCCTTGAATATGTTTAAAGTGTACTGGTAGATTTCACTGAAGACAGGCGTCCCTACCAGACTGCAGATAATGTCAATAATGGATAGACTTCCAAATAAAGCACCTGTTGGAAGACAATGACGTCATTTAGGCATTATTTATACACAGAAGGCTTGGGAAGAGGGGATATATGTCCAATCGTATTAAATAATTTATGATGCGGTCCAAAAACTAGCTTGAATATTTTACAAGTGTTCAATGCAAAGTTTATTGTCAAGTATGGTTATACAGGTTGTCATAAGGAAACAAATGTCATTACATTCCTAAGCGTAACATCACGTGGGAAAACTCATCAGCGTTATTCTAAGATGTGATGAAACAATTTACGTGTAACCCAGACAAGTGATCAACCAATCGAAATGATCAACCAATCTAGCGTTACCCGGGCATGTGATCAACCAATCTAGCGCCACACTGACGTGTGATCTAAATACCTAGTTTGCCCTGGCGTGTGATAAAAATATCCAAGTGTTACCTTGACGGTCAGGACCGGCCATTGCTGACATGATAGACTGGATTGCGGAGATTAGAGCTACATCAAAGGATCCGACGGCTGCAACTGAAAAGTAACTAACATTTAATAAACATCCTATTATATGAGATTACTGTCAAATGTGCACATATAGTTTTGCAATAGAAACTATACAATACACATCAGTCGGAGAACTCACTCGAAGTACTTGCAAAAGTTATTCGTCAGTTCCAATTCAGAAAATACCCAAATGTTTTGAAAAAAATGTTAGTCCCTATTCCCTATTTTGATTTGTACTGTATGTTCCCGTGTTTCTTTTAGGTGAACAGTTGACGTGCCTTTGCATGTGTTTGTGCCAGGTGCCATCGGGGCAGGATACGCTCACCTTTTCGCGAACACCTGGTATCATTACTATCTGATAGTGATTCATAAACACATGCTCATGATATAGTCGGAATCGTTCAATCGACTCTGCTTTATACAGAAATAATTATTATTGGATATGGAAGGGGTTTTGTCGCTTTATTTCACTTTGGATCACATGCTCCAGTTTGGTCCTCAATCTATGAAAGTGCCAATGAACTCACTAATTTATACCTCGAAGAATGTACACACAATTGCATTAAGTACGTGTAAATTCATGTGTACTCTGACAGCCACACAACAACAACCTGTATCGCGGAATTAAATAGTTCCTCAAAAGGAGAGGTGACATGAGCGTATGTATGCCCAATTTACTACATTATAACATCTTTTGTAGTTGACTGACAACAAATGGATTTCTTTGTTCTTCACCATTATGAGTCGCAGCGAGGGTATTCGTGGACGAGCATGCATTCAGACTTTCTTTCCTAATAAAAAAATAACTCGCACAAGTACACGTAACAATCACGTTCCAAAACACGGTCAATAAAAACCTTAAATATCAGATTGTACATCTGATTTTTAAAAACCATAAACATCGGTTGATCAAATTACAATTCACTTCCCAAGCTAAACCGAGTCTGTTCGAATGTTCGGGAATCTATAAGGAGTCTGGAAAGCTAGATAAATCTAAGAAATGTGCTGCTTACCCCCGTACATCAAGAAGTTGTTGGTAGCAAATGCCTTCAGAATATTGGCTCCAACTACGGCGAGGTTGCTCCAGATGGCGATGAGCACGTCGTTGAAGCAGCACTGATACAGCTTCAGAAGAGGGATTTTTATCAGTTCAGAAAAGATGGAGGCTCCGGTCCCATAGTAACCCATCATCTCCGGACTCCAACATAAAGGCCAGGTCATCTCCCATAACGTACCGATGCTACCAGTTTTCGATGCAATTTTGTGAAAAGCCATTGCCAACAAAAGAATTGAGAACATTATTCTAGTTTTCACAGTACCTTCGGTAAAGTAAAAACCGAAAACATTTTTTATGGCTCCTAACGGAGTAAGTAACTTCCTCTCCTTCTTCTTCTGTTTCCTCAACACTGAAGACGATGGCGTCTTTTTACTTTCTGGCAGGATGACCACAACAGCCAACACTGCTAGCAGGAGAATTGCGATCGAAGTCACACATGGTAGGAAATAGCCTTCAAGTTGTATGTAGTACCCAACACCAGTAGCCAAGGCTGCATTGGTCAAAGTCTGTGTTATTCCCATCACAACTAAGCCAGTGGTCCGCGAACCCTCAGGGGACGTATTGTCAGCGATGTAAGCAAAGCATGCAATAGTGAATAGTTCAGTACTACAAATTGAGCCTATTACAGAGCCTATGAATAAAATGTAAAAGCTTAATGACCAATGAATGACGGCGGTTGTCAGGACAAAATTGAGTAGCGTGCCAATCATTGGAATTAAAAACAACACTTTTCGACCAAAGTAATCCGAATAGGCACTAAAGATGACCGTACTCACAAGACTAATAGGACATCCTGTGACTGTAAATCTTATGCTCCATGTCGTCTGGAGCTGTTCGGCCTTTTCTTGTAAGGAGTTTGTCCCGTTTGAATCTGAAGCGTTGAGTGATGGGTTTTCACAGTAGGATGCGTCGTAGCTCGAATTATTGCCGTCAGAAGAACGCGACGTATTCCCAAACACTTCTTCTTCCAACCTATGGAAGAAATACTGACTCCACGCCGGGCCGTGGATATGGATGGCTATAGACCAGATGATAAGGATGATGTTCATAAGAATGAGGTTTACAACCTGAGTCTTGGGAGAATCCTCCTTCCTGTTGGTGTCTTTGTTGAGGAACTCCTCATCCTCATTGTTCCTACTCTTCTGCCTGTTGAGGGCCCAGCCTACCCAATCATCGTCATCCATCTCCTCCTGGTCGCCTAGACTTGTCTTAGGTCTATGTCTCTGTGCAGACGTTGTGTCTTCATCGTCGTTCACAATGAGGGTTCGTCTCAAAGGTGGAGCAGACTTTGGTCTTGCGTTCACCCTCACTTCAACATCAGCAATGATATGTCCTTTGAATTCAGCATCAGTGGACGCCCTGGTCAAAAGGGGATCACCCTCCCCATCCTGTAGGAAACCCCTTACATCAGGCCTATTTGCAGACCCACCAAGAAGTGGCGTTCTTTCATCCATTGTTATGAAAGAAACAGTTCAAGTCAAAGAACGAAAATGTGTGCTGCTCTCATGCCAGAATCATTATTGCTAATAGAACTATTGCAACGTATCTTGTGCAGCTAGCCCCTGGACAGTCCTCATGAGTCATGCATCCTAAATGCCAGCATTATCTTACGCTCACTCTAATCAGTTTCATCACTGTAACATGTGAGGTAACCAAAGGTTAAAAAAAGGGTTTCTATGTCACCAACGTCACATGTTAGATCATCTGAGTCGAAGATAATGTTAGCATACGTAAATTGTTCTTACATATGATACATAATATTAGTTTTGTCAATGTTGGCTTCATAAATTCGTCTGTAATGATGAATGAGTCATTGTTGAGCCGTGTCACGACAGTCTCTAAATACTCCAGTCTGGACCAACTTAATTAATACTCTACAGTTGATGTAACATAAGTTGTATTTAGGGTTTACACTTTTTAATAAAGTGCAAACTCTGGCACATTTTGGGGGTTTGAGTCACATCCGGGATTCGAACATACATTCTCAGAATAAAAAGGCACCTAATCGACAGCACTTAAAGTCACCGACCCAACACTTTCAGCCACCGAACCTTCCACTGAATTGAAACCCACCACTGTCGTCCAGATAGCGTACTTGTCTTCCCTTCTGAGAAGTGTAACTTGGCTAGGATCCCATGAGTAGGTTGGGTCGCTGCCATTGTGTCTTAGCAATAAGGTGCCTCACTCTGAGAGTGTGGGTTCGAATCCTGGATGGGACTCAATCCGAAGAAGTACTCGAATTTTTATTTTACGAAGAAGGTGTAATCTAAATATAACATATGTTACATCTGACCACTTTCTTATGCTAATGGTTGCCATATATATACAGTATACTCAACAACAAAAGTTTCTGTGACACCAATATTTTAGTGTATTTTACAAACAAGTAAAGTTTGGTTTTCAGTAGTGTAGTACATGTAGAGAATCAAGTCACAAAAACGCAACTGCTACAGAAAAGCATGCATTCCATGCAAAAGTTGACTTTTATGCAAGACCCATACATTTCACTACCCAAGAATGGGTATAAAAACATGTGCGTTAATGGGATTCCATATGCATTGTTTAGCATCGTGCTGAAAACCAAACCACTCAGAAAAACAACAAAATTACGCAAATATTCAACATTACAAAATGCCATGCCTGTCCAAAAATGAGTGTCTGCGAGCCATTGGTATGCTTGAAGCAGGATCAAGTCAACGTGATGTTGCAAGACAATTTAACGTCCACAGAAACACCATTTGGTGTTAATGGCAACGTTGGCAACAGACGAATGCAGTCAGAGACCATCCTCGGAGTTGCAGGCCACGCGTAACCAATAATCGACAAGACAACTGGATTCGAACAACACTGCTACGAAATGGATTCCAGCCAGCAGCAGTGACTGCAAGAAGCATCCCTGGCCTTCGACGAATATCTTCACAAACCGTACGTCGTCGCCTCAGATGTGCAGGGATTGTCGCCAGAAGACCCGCCAGACGTCCCATTTTGACAGGAAACCACCGCCAAGCACGTCTACAGTGGTGCAGACAGCGTCTACGCTGGACGGCCATGCAGTGGGGCCATGTCAGTTCTATTCACTGACGAGTCTCGTTTTCACCTCAGCCACAGCGATGGACGGATTCGAGTGTACCGACGTCGAGGTGAACGTTACGTCAATCATTGTGTCATGGAAGAAGATCGGTTCGGGGGCGGCAGCGTTATGGTATGGGATGGGATTACAGCAAGACAGAGGACCCGTTTGATAGTGGTAGAGGGAAATCTCAATGGACAGCGCTACCGAGACGAGATCATCAGCCCTGTTGTTCTACCGTTTTTGCGTCGTCATGGCCCAGGCATTACCTTTCAACATGACAACGCCCGGCCTCATATTGCTCGACTTGTTCAGGATTCACTTCACCAAAACAACGAGAATGTCATCCCCTGGCCGGCTCGCTCCCCTGCCGTAAAAGGCGACTATGCTTGTTGTAAGAGGCGACTAACAGGATCGGGTGGTCAGGCTCGCTGACTTGGTTGATGCATGTCATCGTATCCCAAATCCAAGCTCATGATGTCAATCACTGGATTGTCTGGTTCAGACTCGATTATTTACAGAAGCACTTCCGGTTCCGGTGGCGCGTGCGCATCCAAGATGGCGATACGTCCGGTTCCGGGAGGCGTGCACACCTCCAAGAGCACGCCACATCTGGTTCCGGGGAGGAGGACATAAGAAGTGCTCGTAAATGAAAAAGAATTAACAGAAGCGCACGTAAAATCCTAATCTTTCATTTTTAAAAATAATAAAGTGGTGGTGGTGGTGATGGGCAGGAGGAATGGATGGGGAGGAGGAATGGAGGGGGAGGAGGAATGGCGGGGGAGGAGGAATGGAGGGGGAATAGAGGGGGAGGGGGAATAGAGGGGAAGGAGGAATGGAGGGGGAGGAGGAATGGAGGGGGAGGGGAGGAGGAGGGGGGGAGGAGGAGGAGGGGGGGGGGGGGGGGGGGAGGAGGAGGGGGGGAAGTGCTCGTAAATGAAAAAGAATTAACAGAAGCGCACGTAAAATCCTCCTCTTTCATTTTTTTCTTTTTAAAAATAATAAAGTGGTGGTGGTGGTGGTGGTGGTGGTGAGGGGGAGGAGGAATGGAGGGGGAGGAGGAATGGAGGGGAGGGGGAGGAGGAATGGAGGGGGAGGAGGAGGAGGAGGGAGGAGGAGGGGGAGGAGGAGGGGAAGGGGGGGAGGAGGAGGGAGGAGGAGGGGAGGGGAGGGGAGGGGTGAGGAGCAGGGAGAGGGAAGAGGAGGGAGGACATAAGAAGCGCTCGTAAATGAGAAAGAATTAACAGAAGCGCACGTAAAATCCTTAGCTTTCTTTTCCGCTGCTGCCGTTGTTGTTGTTCCTCCATGTAGTCTAACATCCAAATTTCTGACTGAGGATCTCCTGGGAGGACGTCCACGGGTCGCTGACCAATGCACATGGCAGTTGTACGACTTGACCAACTGGGGTAAGACTTTCAAATAGTGTCTGGTCCCATGCTGTGTAAAGTATCGCCACATTTTATTTTTCAGAGTCCTTTGAAACCGTTCCACTACGGCTGCTTTCGTTTCAGGATTTTGACTCGTGTAGAAATGAATGCCATGCTTCGTCATGAGAGCCTGGAAAGGGCGGTTGACAAATTCTCTGACTTTGTCTGTTTGCAATTGAGCAGGGAGTCTGCTCTTGGCCTTGAGGGGTTGCACCCATGCCATCTTTGAAAACACATCGATCACGCATAGCAGATATTTGAATCCTTGGTTGTCGTCTTCAAAGGCAATCATGTTGCTCAAGTCTCCTTGCCACAATTCATCGACGCCTCCCACACGATAGTGGTCTCTCGGAAAGGAGCGTCTGGCTGGTTTGTGCAAGGTGTAGGTACTTTGGATTTGCAACCAACGCTTGATTTGACTTTGCGGTGGCATGGTTTTCTTCTTGCTTTTACTGGTTCTTGCATCTTGAGCGTGGATGCGTGCTGCTTTCCACAAAGGTCGCCAGCCTCCAAAATTTACCGGATGTTCAGGATGAAAGTAGGTTTTTTCCAACCAGGCCGTCCAAAGGGAAGTAGGAAATCCTTTGTTTTGTTCCCCTTCAGCAGCAGAGGGAAGAATGCGCTGTCGCGTCTTGGTCTGTCGCTTCATTTCTTCCAGACTTATGCCACCCGGTACATGAATGATCTTTTTATAGAGAGGGGAGAGATATTTTTTTCTTATGTGGTGCTAAAGGGTATCCATGAACCTCGCCTGTTGATGAATCTGTCCTGTTTGGTATCAGACGGAGGTGGGGTCATCAACCATGGGGTTGGCATCTCACCTTTTTCTTCTTCCACTTGTGGATCAAGCTGTCGTGAAGGAGGTGGGGATGGCATCTCATCTTCTTCTTCTTCTTCCGCCTGTGGATCCAGCTGCCGCCGCCTCCTTCTTCTTCTCTCTGCGGGTGACTTTGCAGGGGAGAACTTGGGAAGGGGGAACTGGGTATTGGGTGTTTTTGGTGTAGCGTGAGGATGGTGTTGCTGCTGCTGCTGCTTCTGCATCCATTGCGATCGTTGAGGATTTCCAATCCAATCTGGCCAAATGGTGACTCAAAATGGTCCAACCTGCAAGCCCCTCTTTGGTTTTCCGGTGACGCACTAAATCGTTGATCAAGTCCACCATGCGTGTGCCAGGGATGGGTTTCCCTTCCACGGTCAGGGTTCCCTCTAGAGTCCAACTCAAGTCGGGATTGTTTTGAATCCTTGTCATCAAATTCATGGCTTTACTGGACATGGCTTTAGGGCACTCATGATCACTACGTTGATCCCTTTTGAGGAGGGGCAGGTCTTCCTGTGGTGACCATCGTTGATGGTGATGGCGGTGGTGGTGGTGTCACTTTGGGTTATAGTGGTTTGATGGTATTGTTGTTGTTGTTGTTGTGCTGTTGGCGCTGCAACTCTAGCATGCGTTGCAACAGTTGGTTGTATTCTTGTTCCCGCATGTGAAAAGGCTGCTGTGACCTCTGCATCAACGCGTCCATCTCTTCCAAATTTTGGAGACGTTTCTTTGCAATGTGTCTTCAGGCACCAACACCATCTTGCGTGTGTACTTCATGGTGTCACACCACACACTGATCCCAACCTTCCTGGTGTCAGACCATGTATTACTTACCTCCAAACAAAGAGGCTAGGGCAGAACCAATAAGAGGAATGAGTCCCCCTAATAATCCTCCTCCATGTTGAAGAAGTTTACGTTTCTTGCTTAGAGGTACTTGTTTTTTTATGAGCGTTTTCAAGACTTTACCGTGTCATTGCAAGTTTTGACGTTGAGTCGTGGTCATGGGAATATTGCCTGCATACAAGTTCACCACACATTCAAAAAAGGCACGGGTGAGATGGTAGGAGCATGTTTGAGAATGGCTTTGCGCATCGCTGGAGCGGCAGCACACAAATGACACAGAGCGTGTTTCTGTTTCCTGAGGCACCGAGACATCTCTACATCTCATAGGTTCAGCACATACACGATGGGCATCTCGGACCTCGAAAACAGGCGGGCGCGTACTCGATGGTCTTGCAACGTGTTGGGTTTCAAGTCCAAGAACAGGTAAGTGTGAG